CAAGACCGAGGGATCCGAGACCAAGACAAGACCAAGACCAAAGTCCGTCGAGACCAAGGCAAGACCAAGACCTCGTAAAAGTGGTCTCGAGACATCCAACTCTACTCGCAGTAATGGTGAAATTTGAAAAAGTGCAACACAAACCAGAAATGGAGTTTCATTTATATTAAAAGTTTAATAATTTACCTAGTTATCGCTAAGTCCTTTTACTTTGAAGGCAAAAAGTCAGCCTTTTTCCACTGAATCACTACTTCATGGTGAGCAGTTAGCATCTTCCTTACGAACTATGACAAGGGTCATCTGCCAAAACAGTCAGAAATAGGTGTTTCAGTGCAGCCCTACCACCTCTTTGTGACCAATTTCACCTTGACAGCCAGCAACCACTTGCCAACTGGTTGGGGAATACATATTTTTCCCTGGTGACTAATGGTTGCCAGAGGATCGCAGACTAGTTTCTAGGCCTGTGGTACTGAGCTAATAGAAAGATGGGAATTTTCCTGCAGAGTGAAACTACCTTAGGTAAGCTGGTGATAGTTTATATTTTTTACTAGTTATCTAATGACACTGACTACTGACAGTCACCAGCCTTCCTCAAATCAGGTTCTTTCTCAGGAAATTAAGTAAGTTGTTGCACTTTAAACAAATTTTAAGGCATTATTTCAAGGTGAAATGAAGGGAAAGTTAACCAGTTTGATTTCCCTGCTCCCAAGCTTCAGAGAGGAAATTAATAAGCTTTATTATGTTGGCAATAAAGATTTCATGGCTACAGCTCATCTTTAAAAAATGATAGCTTTATCAGTAAGTCAAATATAAGTCGAGCTCCTAATAGGTTTGTTTTTATTTGGCAGCTTTTAACATATCGGTGAAGCTACATTAATTTTTCATAGTCTTTGAGTCTTAAAAAGACATTTTGTATTATACTGTTAGGTGCAAATGTCATTACATTTTGAGCTCTTAGATGTGAATGGAAAAGTGATTATGTATAAAATTAGACGTCAACTGCAAATCATATAAATCAGAAAATCTTAAGAGCAGCAGCTATTTTTAACTCCCTCAGAAAGTGGATGATCCATTTTCACAGCCTTGTTAAAGAATGAAAAACAAAATCTCTATCACTGAGGATGATGACGATGATGTTGTGATGCTGCTGAATCCTTAATAAAGCCCGTGACATTTGCTGCAGCCTCTGCACTTTAAGCAAACAAACCTCAGGATCCAGCTGGTGCGTACTCGTGTGCATTTCCTATTCTATTACCTTAAAAAAAACACCTTAAAAGGAAAAGAGGCACCAAAGACAGTGAAATAGAATCTACTTCCTCTCAAATTTATAAACTGACTGATGTATCTGTGGCTGAGAATTTTATATTTCAGTCGAGTGAATTAAGGACTTTAACAGGTCCCAGCAGCTGCTCACTGAGGCTTGGTAACCATAATTAGGATTGGCACTTTCAAGCATGCTTTTAGTGACCAGGGAGTCCAGACAAGGCTCTCTCAGTTTGGGGTTTGAGGCTATGCAACACCAAAGAAAAAGGTCATTCACAATCAAGGTCTCAGGGGGAGCTTTTTAAAGGCCTTTTCTACTTCCAAATCAATCACAATTTCACAGGCAATTCTTCAAAGACTGTTTGAGAGTGCAGTGACCTATTGCCATCTGTAGCCTCAGTGTTGAAGCGGGGTCATGTGCAAACACTTGCACCATCTAAATGGGATCTATAATTTGTGACAATTGTTAATATAATGCCTGATTAACATTTCTGAAAAAGGCAGAGCTTTCAGAAATGCATTATTGTAATCTTTGTTTTGTTAGTTAAAAATATGTCAAAGTTGAAAGCAACTTGCTTACCCACAGCATTCAGCACTGGACCCAAGTCTGTTGACACTTGTGAAGTGCAATGCAATAGGAACAAACATTTAACCCTGAATATATTAGATGAGAAATCCTATCACTGAAGGCCCAGATGTTAAATTATTTACATTTGAAAGGCTTCAGTGAATCGAATGAGCAGGGGAATTTTCGGCAGGCATAAGCACACTGAATCTCACACGCGCTTGTCTGCACGCAGGTAGCAACAATCCAGTATTTTTTTCTGGCTTTAATCCCAATAGTTTTTAAGCTGCGTTTTATGTAACAAATGTAAAAGACTGTGCATGTGCCTGGCTGGAGTCATATATGTCTTTATTGCCAGCTGTGGCATGCTAGACCCGCCATCTTTCTGGAGCAGCATGATGGATTAAGACTTGGATGTTTTTCCAGTATGATCTTCTCAACTCTGAAATAACCCCCCCTTCTCCCCTCCCTACTCCTACTCCTCCTCCTCCTCTGTGGCACTGGCACAAATACCAACTGTGGCTAAAAGTGACAGAATTTACCTTTAAAGCCACTTAAATCTCAGTTTAAAGGTGATGACCAGTGCTACATAAGAACAAGTACCGTCGGACTGTACAGAGACGTGGTGCCTCTCAAAAAGCATATTAATTGAAATTAATTTAAATAATTGATTAAATGAGAACTTCTGCGCTAAGTGTATCTTTATAGTATTGTGAATATCATATATATTAATATCATATTTGATAAATACTTCTAATACATTTTAAATAACTTCTCCCCCTTTTTCATGCTTGTAAAATGTGAGGACTTTGCTCTTCACCATTACTGTAAACTGACAATAATCATTTTGTTTTTGTTACCTTGGGCTCCTAAATATTGTTACAAAGTTGTACATGTAATATTAAAAACTAGAAAAGAATTTACAAAATGCCCAATAAGCCTAATTTACGTCTAAAAATTGTCCTCTTGACTATGAGGGACAACAGTTAGCTTCTGGGAATATTCCTTCTGTTAAAGTGTTTCATGCAGCAACAATGATGAAGCTGTCCATGTACAGTGACCTCACAGAGGTTAGCTTTGTGGCCATGTATGTTATCCTGGTGCTGTCATTTCCACAAACTGCATTTTATATTAAAATCCGAGCTTAATTCTGTTCCTCATTTCTTTATTTTATCTTAATATACTTCTCATTTTATGTTATGTATCATATTAAAATATTTCTGTAACTGCTGTGTGAAAGGAACCTACTTTCACTGTACAGTACAAACCCACTGTGTTTATTTACACGTGCATATGACAATAAAATAGCTTGTACTTGTACTTAATTAGCCCAAAGTTGTCAAAAAAATTTCTAGCACCAGAAAAGCATTTCACAGTACTTACAAAACAACAGATGCAGGGAAACTCTGAGGAAACATCTTCATTACTGCATCTTCAAGTAGTTAAACGCAGATGCAAACGGATGATAACTAAAGTCATGTTACTTGAAATAAAGAAATTTATAGACACTAAAACAAGTGCTAAAGTTTAGCTTTTCAGAGCACGGGTGCTTTAGCACCTTTAACCCTTTCACAGTAAGTCACCTCACATTTTTTGGCTTCATTACGTGATCTGTAAATCACAAGCTGGTGACTTGATATGTTAGGTATGATGACTGTTTCCAGTAGCAGTAAGTTGCAAAGGAGACAAAACTACAAAACAAGATTAATAAGTATGACTGTCTTTTGATTTAGAAAGGGGTTTTTCCCCCTAATTGAAAAATGTGTAAATGCATAAGAGAATAAGGGATGGCTGAAATGTTTCCCCTGATTATATGTGCTAAATGTTTAATCTGTTATCCTTTATGTGAAAATGAACTGAACAAATGCCAAAGCTTTCATAAAAGTTATTGTGACAGCTTGTGAAATTCAGGCTCTGTAACAGGCTGAAGCCAGGAGAGTTCAACTTTTAATTTGAAAAATATTAAATCCTGTCATCTCAACTCGGTCCCTTAGAAGCATTATGTGACAGAAGTACAAAGGAAATGGGGCCGTATTATGCAACTATTACAATTCAGCTGTGGTAACCTTCAATCTTTAAAAAGACACTGCGTGAATATCTATACCGAGAGAAGCCAATTGATCGATAATTTTTCTGCTAGCGCTTTGATGTGAGCTGGGTAAAACTCCTTCCACTTTTTTCTTCTTGCAGGGGGCATCTTTGAGACTCTTGAAAATGAGCCCATTAGTGTTGAAGAACTGGCCTTTAAATTTGCCGTAACTAACATAAACAGGAACCGGACCTTAATGCCAAACACCACGCTGACCTATGACATCCAGAGAATAAACTTATTCGACAGTTTTGAGGCTTCAAGAAGAGGTAAAGATCTTGTCATTTAATTTTGAAACCCTACTTGAGAATCAGTAAGAGATTTTTGTTGAGATTTTCTTTTCTTCCCACTTTCTGTTTGATTACTTCAGCCTGTGACCAGTTGGCGCTGGGCGTCGGTGCTGTTTTTGGACCCTCTCACAGCTCATCGGTCAGCGCGGTCCAGTCTATCTGTAATGCCCTGGAAGTCCCTCACATCCAGACACGCTGGAAACACCCATCAGTGGACAACAAAGACAGCTTCTACATTAACCTGTATCCTGAATATGCCTCTATAAGCAGAGCTGTGTTGGACATAGTGCAATTCTACAAGTGGAAGACGGTTACTGTGGTCTATGAGGATGCAACTGGTAAGTTGAGATGGGAATGAATGATACAACATAAGATCTGGAGGGAAACACAGACTTCACTATCATACTGAAGGGCCGTTAGTGATTTAACACAGCAGGAAGAACATAAACTTTACTTTTAAAGCATAAAAATGTGGCAACTGTTTGTCATATTTATAAAGTGCCCTTGAAATAAGAACTACAACTCCTGCAAGTCTTTGCCTTAGCAACCCTGTTAAATTACCTTGAAGCTATTTATAGATGAGTCAATGTGCCCTGCACGTGCTCTAAAACTTTTAAAGAACAGAAGTCTTCTGGAAACAGAAGTCAGTCCCAACAGATGGTGAGACAAAAATCACTCCTAAATAAACAGGAAGAAGCAAATATAAGACAGAACTAAGAAGTGAGGATAATGCACAAGTAGTTATGATGATTCTAAATCAAGAGTTTCCAATGCCACTGCGATGTACACTCTTTCAACCTGGCTAACTGTGCTAGAATATGTCATGGTCCTGTTACTGTGAGCAGTTATGAGAGGAGAAGATGATCAGACCTTCAAAGGACATAAAGTCAAAGATAAAGCTTTCTTTTTGAGAGTTTAAGAAAGACTGCTGTATTATTTGTTGCATTTTCATTTTGTGCTACTTTACAAAAGATTAAGACCTTGAGATGTTAGGGCTATGACTTCTTAACAATTACCATGTGACACAACTGTATTTCTGATTATTCTGAATCCTCAGACCTCGTCCTAATGATCAGCAGCCATGAGCTCCACTAAGCAGTTTTCCAGCACTCTATGAGTTCAAATAATTTTCCCACCATGTAAGAAAAGACTAAAAGAAGATAACTGAGCATTTTCAGGTACCAGTCTCCTCATTAATAGGAACAGAAGATTTGGGATTTAAAGCACCAGAAAACTTTCCAATTGATCTCTTCCATGATTGCTTGGAAGGTAAATAAAGACCCAAGGTGATGGAAAAAGCCCTTAAGAACTATATAGTCTGGAGGGACAGTGTTGGGTTTGGGCAAAACTGCCCCCATGCTAGCTGTGAAAAATAATACAGAATGACTTTCTTGGGATTATTCTAGTTTTAAATTGGACAAAACCAGAAAGCTAAGCCTGTGAACCAAACAGAGGAGAGTGTCGATGTCTACATCAACAAACAGGGTGGCAATACTGCATGCTACATTGTTTAAAATCAGGGTGCAGAACCTATAACGTGGTTGTGCTCAGAAATTCAAAGTTCTACACTGGCCTTCTGTTTAGCAGTACCTACAACATCAGGTCTCTAAGGTACTACATACATTCATCGTATAAATGAATCTCCGCCAGTCTGTGCAAAATTCAACTTCTTTTAGCTGGTTCACTGGTTCAACCATAGTTGGGGCAGTTTCTGTGCAGCAACACCTGCACAAATATGACCCTCAAGAGCCATCAAGTCCTCACATTACAGTAAACCTTCTGTCTTTAATCTAAACTCCATCAGTCCAGATGATCCATTTACATAAACTTTTGTTGGCCACAACAAACCAAAATGTGCTTGGAGGAAAAAATAAAAGAACAATGGTTTCATGAGAACAATACATCTCCAGCTGGTGAGCACAGGGATGGATTGGTGCTCGTCTTGCAGCCAGTGGAAAAGGGAAAACTTAACTTTGAGGCAGAAGAATGGATTCAATAAACAGCAGCTAAATCTGTGTAAATAATACAAGACTTAAGAAATAAGCAGTATTCACCATTAGGAATGCACTTTAAGTGTCAGTGGTGCATACTGCTCAGTGTCCTGATTTGTTGTTTCTGTTGTTAAATGTGATTCATCATTGTTTTTTGTAATGATGCTGAAGTTCAGATTTTCTGTTGGTTGGGGTACTCTACAACTTTAGGTGAAAACCATATAAATGTAAACACAGATTAAGACTAAAAGGCTGCAAAGACTTCAGTGACTAATTATACAGTGGATGAAAATGTATTTCAGCAACTGTTTATCCTTCTCATCTATGAGGAACTTTATATTCATTTTCTATTAATGCAAATATAACTGATTTTAATTCATCCTCTTTTAGCTCAGTTTTCCACTTATCATTACAGGGGGGAAAGCGAGACAAGCATTTTCTCCATTTTGAAACATTTTCTGAAAATGAATTGCGTTGCCCAAACGAAAGCTTTAAAATATATTGTCATATACTGTATATGCAGTTGTCTTGTACTTTAACCTCATGGAAAATTCTACAATCTGTGCCTAAAACTTGTCTCCAAAAGCATCATGGCCCACTTCAAAAATCCGAAATCTTCTGTAGCCCATCCAAAAAAATTTTTTATCACAACTCTGATCATTCTACTGTGAAATATTTTTGCTAGTATCATTAACAGCTTTATTTGAAACACCTGAAAGCTATTGCAGGAAATGCAGAATGTGGTGTATTTATTTAGAATACCTTGGCTTTGTTATGCGCTTCTTTTTTCCTTTTTTAATATTTAAAGGAAATGTAAAGTTTACAATTATTTACATTTTATAAATTGCCGCTATGTTTTGACTTAAAAAACCAATTTAAAACAACTAAAATATCACTTGTGAAATTAAAAATATTTTTGCAAGTCACTTTGTGTACAAAACTTTGGGAATTACTGATTGCCACTGAAGTTTAGTTTCAACTATTTAAATATGCAACATAGCAATCCATTGACAATTAGCCTTTAACACTAATCAAACAGACAACTGACAAAAGATAACATCGTACTTTCTGTGACTGCTGCCAAACAAGTGCGACAGGCTGTCGCAGAGCAACTCCAAACGACACATACTCTGTCAAGGAAAAAAAATATGCAGAAAACTAAAGGAACAGCTTTCTTACCTGGAGAACAGGGAAGGCAGAGTGGAGCCCCTATTCTGGTTAGCAAGCAAATCCATTAAAAGGTCTGGTAGTTCATAAGATGGCAATGCAGTGTTTAGTTTGAATTCTGTTGTCCTACTGCAGTGGAAAATTATAAAACATTATCACAACTGGCAGACTCCCACCATTTCCTTATGCGTGGCTGAAAAAAAAAACATTTTTCCGACACAAGATCCAATGTGGAGGAAGCTAGTTTCATGCTAAAGATGTCTAAAGCAAAGTAAACTCCAAACAGTAATGACCAGAATACTTACATATTCTAGCTATAGAATTGCAAGAGACAATTTCCAGTTGTTTTTGTTTGAAAATCTCTGCAGGAAAAAAAAAATATATATATTTCATGTTGATGTTAATTTGTTGTTGTTTTTTTTAACACGTTGCTTTGTTAATTTAAGGTTGTAAATTCGCAATGTGACCACTAGAGGGCACATAACACATAAAGAGCCTAGTAGTGACGTGCGATACCAATAATTTCCTTTCCGATCCCATACCAAGTCAAATTCAGGCTGGTATCGATGATATTGATACTTTGTACAAAACTTAATGTGTTATTATATTTTAAATTATAGCTTCGTAACATTGCAGGACTTCAGACTACTTTTTCTTATTGTTTCAATTATGAAGAAATCTCATATAGAAATAAAATCCTCAAGTTGTGATAATTGATGCTATTTGAACATGTGTATCTTGTAATTTAACATGTATATACTTGCCTAGACGTTTCAACAAAAACATTCAACATTCACACTTTCCCTCATTCACAGTAGTGCTGTGCCACACTACAAATTTTGGTATGATCCAATACCAAGTAAATACAGGGCCAGTATTGACGATATCAGTACGAATTGGTTATTCAGGCAGCTAATGGGGGGACGAGTAGTGTGCCATGATTTATAAGATGAATTCTCAATTTGCAAATTCTGAACAAATTTTCACCACCACTGTGATTGTTACTTTCCACAATCATTAGTTAACACAACAAAACACAACTTTCAGCTTTTTGTGTGTTTTGAAACTGAAATGTAAATTTTTCTGTCTGTAAAGACCACAAAAGGTTTGGAGATTTTTCATAATGCACGTTTGAGGTTTATTTTTTCCAAAGAAATAATTAACACAGTTCAGTGGGCTACATACTGAATTTGAAGGATAAAAGCAAAGTATCGATTCAATTGTGCTTGTATCGATCCAATACCAATACTAGTGTTGGTATCGATACGATTGATATTTGGATCATCCGCCTCTTATTCTTACTTAAAAGTAATTCCGGCTTCCAGTCATGTCTATCTATAGAAGAAAACGTCCATATTGCAGTGTGAGGTGATTTATACCCTAAGAAGTAAAACATCCCTTCAAATCCCGGAAGAGACACAAACTGCTGCACGAAAGCCTGTAAAAATGTTTTCAATAATATGTGCAGATCACAGTTGTATAATTCATATTTCTTTAAGGCATTTACACTAGTGTGAAATGATTTGCATACTGCTGCATTATAGCATTTGAATATTACTAATATATTTTTAAAAAGCATTTCCTGTTGCAAATTATACTATTTCAGTATCATTTATTTATTTGCAACGATATGTTATCAACATGCATTTAAACTGCCCGGTAAGCAGCTATTTCAAGGCTACATGACCCACGTGACCCCCAAATTTTCAGGGGCTCTGGTTATCAGGCTAGCAATCACTTATTTTAGGTATGTGACCCCTCCTGGTCACTTTGTGGAACTGCAGCATTAACCAATATAGTGCCAGAGTAGGCATAAATTTAATCTTCTGGCAAATTACAGTAACTAAATATTTTTTAAATATAGTTTTATTGCCGATGTTGAAAAAATCTCTCCTTTTGCAGAGGACAGCATTGTACTTCTTTAAGTAGCATTCCCATAGTTTGAGGAAACCTGGGATTTGAAAACACTGAGGAAGGAAGCAATGAAAGTGCAGATGAGGCAGCTTGTGGTTAAAAGATGCTTTAAAAAAAAAAATCCACATTCAAGTCAAAATAAAATAAATATTTGTTTCATATATAATAGCTGCCATTAGCTGCCAAATGTTGTGGTGGGATGCAAAATAATCAGATTAAATGATTAAATGTTTAAATTCTTGCTGCTCCTACGACATGACACTAGAGAACTGTTGACATGATGGATTTCTTTAAACAAGGTTTGCTTTTTTGTGCTCTGCTTAATTTCATATAAAAGGCCCCTAAAAATAAATGAGAGGTGCTGTAATACGAAGCAGGAGAAAATGCAGTGACCTCAATCAAGGCCAATTTCTCATTTTGCAGTTTTAAAGAGAGTAATCTGGATTTTAAGCGCATTCAGCCAGCTGTTGTGGTGAATAAATATAATGGAAGTTAACTGAATTGAATTTGAACTAAAATTGTGTGGCTTGATCCTTTGCCTTCTTCTTCATCGCCTTATTTCGGCTGCTCCCTTTTGGGTCTCCACAGCAAATCATCTTCCTTCTTCCTCCATATCATCCTATTCCTAGCATCCTCTTCTGTCACACCAACACTCTACACATCCTCCTTTATTGCATCCATAAATCTTCTCTGTGGTCTTCCTCTTTTGAATGGCTTTAACATCTTGAGTATCCTTTGCATATCCACTATCCCTCTTCTGTGAATGTCCAAACATCTCCACACAATTTTATTGAATTTGGCTTGGTAGCTTTGGCCTTGGAGGTGGAATTTTAGTTTTTCCTTACATCATATAAGCAAACTTGTACAGTTAAATTGCTCCAGGTGGGAGGTTTCCATTAAAACGGGGACTGTTGTGTTTAATAATTGCCTCCTTGTCTTTTGATTCAAGGCCTGATTCGTCTGCAAGAGTTGATCAAAGCTCCATCCAGATACAGCATTAAAATAAAGATCCGGCAGCTGCCCACAGGAAGTAAAGATGCCCGTCCCCTGCTGAAAGAAATGAAGAAAGGGAAGGAGTTCTATGTCATCTTTGACTGCTCTTACCAAACATCAGCTGATGTTCTCAAGCAGGTGAATAACATGCACTTCTGCCAGTTTGTGGGCCACTGAGGGTTCAGCCACACGCCACATAAAGTGAAAATTTGATCAGATATCCAATGTGGATTTTCTTTCTTCAATGGAAAAAAAAGGCCTCTAAATCTCTTTTCTGAATTGCTGTTGGTTTAATATTCACTACGTGCAAGATTAGTGCACTTCTATCCCCTTCAGAAATCCTGTGTTCATTACCAAATCCAAGCAGAGCCTATTTCTGGGCCAGACGTACACGTTTAGAACCAACAGCTGCTCGGAAGATTAATTGAAGACACTTCACTAACAGGAGAAAATTGTGACATATACTCACTCGCATAGTTGTTAATGTGAGCCAAAGAAATATGAGACAATTCAGGAAATGGATGGAATAAATAATTTGCCGCTCGCTGTGGTTGTGGGTATGGTTGGTTGGTCTTAGGCGGAAGAGAAGATTATTTATTGTGGCTGGAACAAACCTCCACTGTACCGTTAAACAGAAAACTCTCAAACACTTTCTCCCTGTTTAGATTCTGTCCATGGGAATGATGACTGAATATTACCACTTTTTCTTCACCACACTGGTAAGAGACAAATCTTTTACAAAAAACCCTCTTTCTGATCATAATAACTGTGACTCTTGAAACTTGATAGATAGGTATTTTGCTATGATGCCACATAACTACACAATGCTGGCCTGCCTAAAGTCTGTTTTTGCTACACTACTGAGTTATGCTGATGAGCCTGCACATCTGTGGTTTGTTTTATAATAAGGCTGCTGGGTGCCCTTGGCATAATTCCATGTTATTACCTTGTACTCATGTTGTTCCACTGTTTTAATCAAGTGTTGGTTTACCCTTTCTCTTCAGTTAACGTCTATATCTTGGTCTCATATTGACATTAGGAGTGAAAGTCAGTAGAGGGAAGACAGAATGTGTTTAATTGACAGACAGGCAGGTTTAACAGCTAAGATGCAAGGAGTAAATATGGAGGAGGAGTAGAAACACCTGGGTCAACCATCCAAAGTTCCTGACAGTGCGCAGGGAAGATTAAGAGGAGCGTGCAGGCAGGGTGGAGACAGGTTTTGTCAGTGATCTGTGACAGAAGGACAGCAGCAAGAGTGAAAGGGAAGGTTTACAAGATGGTAGTGAGATCTGCTAAGATGTATTTGGACATTGATGCACTGTTGAAGATGTTAAGCTTTTCATTGGGAGTGAAGAGGATGGACAAGACAAGTGATTACATCAGAGGGACAGCTCAAGTCGAGCAGTTTGAAGAAGCAAGGCTGAGATGGTTTCGGACATGAGTAGGGATAGTAGCTATATTGGACACAGGATGTAGAAGATGGAGCTGCCAGGCATAAGAGGAAGACCACAAAGAAGGTTAATGGATGTAGTGATGGAGGACATGCAGAGGGTTGGTGTGACAGAGAGGGATGCTGGGGACAGGCAGAGATGGAGGCAGATGATCACTGCTGAAAGAAGAAGATTATGTCATGTCACATCAATCCCCTTAGGACCTGTTTGCCCTTGATTTGGAGCCGTACCGCTATAGCGGGGTCAACATGACGGGGTTCAGATTGCTAAACATAGACAATCCTCATGTGGCTTCGGTGGTCGAGAGATGGGCCATGGAGCGACTGCAGGCACCTTCCAAAGCCGAGACTGGAATGATGGAGGGGATGATGACAGTAAGCCTAGTTTTACCTAATGCTTTCTGTATTATCGATAGAAACTTTCAAATCAGCACATGAAATAGACATTTTGTTAACTTTGTCTCCAGATACTATCAAGTAACAATGTAATAAAAAGCCAGAGATGTAAATGTACCTACTCAAGCTTTATTTGTAACACTGCATGAGATCTTTAATACATTTTCACTAGCTCTCATTGCATACACTTGGGTCAAAATACAGAAATTTTATGAATTTTCTAAAACTGCTGCTGTACCTTTGAGTGTGCTTGCAGAAATGAAATGCTGCTGTTTATGTACATAGACAGCCCGGGTGTGATAACTGGATGACTTGTGATTTGCAGTCCCCAGTAACAGAGGATGATGGCCACATTTCTCTTTCAGACTGAAGCAGCTCTGATGTACGACGCCGTCTACATGGTGGCTGCTGCCTCACAACGCACCTCTCAGATCACTGTGAGCTCCCTTCAGTGCCACCGACACAAACCCTGGCGCTTTGGATCACGCTTCATGAGCATGCTCAAAGATGTGAGTCTGCCTAATGAATGTGTGACACCGGCGCTCCATCCATTCATCTGTCCTTTTCATAGCCCGCTGCCTCTGTGTCACTTGCTTTTGTGCAAGAGCAGAAACAATAGAGTTAGGAGATTAGATCTGGTGAATGAGCAACGAGTGTGTGATGATTATATTGAAAATAATTTTTTCAAGACATGGTGATTGACGTCATGCATCACATGTTGGTAGTCTTGTAAAGATTAGAGCTGTCCATGGAGGAATGCTGCTCCTTGTGTGAATGTTTATGAAAGCAGGTAAAGACAATGTAGATTTGAGACAGCTCCTCATGAGCTAATAATAATGCTAAAACTGAAGACTCGTGCTAAGGATCATGTAGCATGCTTCTTGCTCTGTTGAACACGAAAAATATTTCTGCATGAATTGTTGATCTAACAGCAGATTAAACAGAAACACAATGAGACAAACACTCAGCAAAGCCTGACAGGTTGAAAAAAAAAACACGCTGCCTGCTGTGGAAGCAGACTTTTTCATCTGTGTCAAGATATATTCATCTCACTTTAATAAGCTTTCTTGTTATTGCACTCTCTAATTAGATGTTTCTTTAACCAATGAGCTCTTCTTGTTGTAAGTGAGGACAGAATATTGACAGCAACAAGCAAAGCCAAATGACCCAGACAGCAGAGTGTAAATGAATGAGACTTTTAGCTGTATGGTCTTTAAAGATATTGTCTGTAATTAGACTTGAGAAAAGTATTTTTTACATAAAAACAAAGCGATGTAAAATGTAATTTTCTTGTCGACTGATGACTGCCACTGTAATATTCTTTCTTCTACACACAAAAAAGTCCAAACATCCTAAAATGAACATTGTTGTTTTAGTACAGTGGTTAAATTTAAAAGTGCCATTCCAGTGCTTTCTTTTTACTGTTCTCCCATTTACAGCATATTATGCATACAACACACGACACTACCAGCCAATATTTTACTGCCATACTATATAGATTTTCAATTTACTGGTAAACCTTAGCTACTAGGGTCCTCGGCTATGGTGGTGAACCTGGGTAAGTGATTGAAAGAATAAGACTGGAGATACAAGTGACAGAACTGAGCTTCCTCTGAAGGGTGTCTGGCTCATCCTTGAAGGTAGTTTAAGGACCTTGATCATTTGGGAAGTACTCGGAGTAAAGCTAAAAGAGAGAGTGGAGGTGATTCAGGAATTGTATGCATCCTAAGCAAGGGGTTCTGGACATACCCAACCAAAAAAGAAGCAGGGAAGATCCAGGACATGCTGGAGAGATTACGTTTCCCAGCTGACCTGGGAAAACCTGGGAAGGAGAGGGGAATATACAGGTTGTGGATGGGGAAAGGACGGTCTGGGCATTAGGCTTGATGGCTGGGTGAATGAATTGATAGAAACTTAGCAGAGAAAGTAAGGAAATTTGTGTTAGCAATAAAGCCTATATGGTTGGATAAAGAAGATTTGGCAAGTTTTTTATGGGCGCAACCCACATGCTCAGCTCTGCTGCTCAACCCACAAATGCATTTTCCTTACAAATGTGGCACCATTTAATGAGAAATACTGTAAACAGACTTTCTAGCAGTATAAGATTTATTGCCAGGAAGCAAAGAAATAATCGACCGAACATAAATGTCCTTATTTTTTGTACTAAGTTTAGCTTTTAAATTAGTCATTAATGGAAACACTTAGCAAATCCACAACACACAATCTCACAGGGAACTGAGGGAAGCTGGTTGGCAAATACTGTACATCTATCATGTTTTGCTCATAAGTTTCATCTTATTATCAAACATAAGTTCTGCACTGCAAAGTAGTATACTGACTATGTGTCTGGTGGAGCTGACAGGGGTGTGCTTATCTGGAGAAAGCTTAAACTGAGTATTTGGAATATTCAAAGGAAATGATGTCTTCAGCTTACAATAGACCTGCCATTATGCCTCTCCTTATTCCTGTTACTGCTTGTATGAGAGGCACTCTGATTTAGTCCATGATGCATTACCACACAATAATTATGTAACTCTAACAGTAATCAAACCAGACGTGATGTATGCAGAGCTGAATCATTTATAGCAGGTCATTTCCAAGCTTCTACAAGACAAATTGGATACCTTAAAGAAACGAGTAGCTGCTTGAATGGTGAAAAACACATTCACAAATAAACACACCATTTAGAAAGTTAATGTGTACATGCCTATATAAAAGTTTAATGGTGGAAATGTTTAACATATGTAGAGACTATATTGAAAATATGCAAACATATTAGTATGGTCCTTTCAGACTGTATTCTAAATTAAGAACTATAACTTAACAGCATTAGCTGATGGGCCCTTGAGCAAGACACTAAGTGCTGTTCAGTAGCTCAGCCTACACTCTGCTCTTGTGGGGGTGGAAAGGTAAACTGACAAATCTGCCTGCAAGACTTGGTGCTGTGCCACACATTTAACAGGGAAAGTTAAGTTTTATGAAGAACTAACTGTTCAAGAATATTAGGGGCACTTTGAACGCATACAGATGAATGTGCTTGGATCTGATTTTAGATACAGTATTGATGTGGAAAAAAGAAAATATTGTTTTTTCTCACCGTTTCCTCTCATGTGCTCATGGGTTTTTAATGGCGGCAGTATCATTATCTTACAAATATAAAAAATAGGTCCATTTCTTGGATAAAGAGTGGTTTTGCCTCTCTATACCACCATAGATTTTAAATCAGTTAAACAACTGTGATTAGAGCCAAGATTTCCCACTTTAATTCAGAGGGCTTTGATAAAAGTTTTGCAGAATTAGAAACATTTTCATACACGGTTTCAGAGGCTTAAAATACTTTGCACAATTGACCAACAACCAATTTCAAGGTTAGGTGAGGCCCGTTCTGTTGTTCTTTCAAGACAAAGGCTGCAAACTGCTGGTTACACTCAAAAACATGGTTACACTCAAGAACACGAGTGTAACCAGTAAACATCTAAAAGAGTCTTCACAGAAAAATATCTGGACTGATGAATCCAAGATTAACTTGTACCAGGAAGGATGATGGGAAAAATATGGAGATATGGTAGAGGCAAGTGGAACCAGGCCAGCAGTGTTTATTGATGATGTGATTGGGCTATATTCTCTGCTCAGATTCAGATTAGGCTTAAGATAGTCACTGACTACAAATGGTTTTCATTCAAGGATTAAAAACAGTCCTAATATTTAAATATATGTAACTATATATATATTTATAGATAGGAGTACTATCTATAAAAATGGCTGTATTTCATAAACAGTAGATACAATATGTTTGTTAAACCCCTTCAATTACTTTTTGTCTCTTTAGTTTAAACTACAAAAAAATTGTCCAACAAAATATAGACCTAACTGCATATAAACTGCAGTCGTGGAAACACATTGTCAAGAGAGAGAAAATCTGATTGGTGAGGATTTAAAAAGGGGAATTAATCAAAAGAATAAATCTGGACTGAAGGGTCAACAGATCTCAAAGATGTGAGGGACGACACTGGAAAGCAGACATATCAAAGGGCATTTTCATTGAATGATACCCTCTAACCTTCTATATGTATTAAAGAAACTGATGTTTCTCATGACGTGATCAAGTTTAATATGAACTCTTAAGTTTATGTGTGATTCCTGACATGGAATACTATGCTCTGCAAAATCAATTTCATCATACTGCTTCAGAATGATGACATTGGATTACATTTTTTCTTAATCTTGTTTTGTTTATTGCTCGTTGCGTGTACTAATGGCTCAAGATGAATTTGCTTCGGTTCCAGTCGAATTAATGGAATATTTTTCACTTCAAAGTCAAAGGCTCACTGTTGTTTTGCATCTCTAAATTCACCTGTATGCTATTTCTAGCAGAATAGATTTTAGTGGAATATTTTGCAGTGTTTAATACTAGCATGACACTGTATTTCTTAAAATCTGTATATATATGCTATAAAAACTTTTTGACGGCATGTCCTCGGTGTCACTCCAATACCATAATGCCTTGCTCTTAGAGTAAACAAACATTAAGTTGAACCAATTCTTTAAAACAAACCACACTGTTCATGTCCTGAATACCATATGTTATTTCCCATGTTTGATATTTGTGGCTGCTTTCAACATTGCTTTAAAAAAAGCAACGTTATATTGAAACCTAACTGTAATATTGAGATGCTTTTTTCCCCCGAAGTTGACATTTTTGTTCTTACATTTAAATGTAATGTAGTGTTGTCATTTAGAAATCTGGCTTTGTTTTACATTTGGATCAAAACACACTGGTATTGTGAGAAAGTCCTGCACCACCCCTCATTTCTGTATATTTTGCCTCCAAAGAGCCAGGCTTTGTTATCAAGTGCTCTTGATGAACAATAGTTCTCCGGGCTCCTTTCTGAAGTTTTTCAACATTTTTGTTTCAGCATTGGCTGCTTTTTTATTCATTTTCTTTCTGGTCTTTGTACCTTCGCATGTTTGTTTGTTTTTAAGTCACCTGTGAATCTTTTAAGCCTAACAAGGATATTGTATACATAATTTTCCAATTATCATTTCTTTAGATGAATCTGTGAAAAATATCAATTGATAACACAGTGTGTAAAGATAATGATAATGATTCCTGTGCATTTGAATGTGCTTCAAGAAGTCTTGAGAACTATTCCCAAAGACTACAAAGTAGAGCTAGTGTAAGTAAAAAGCTTGCCAAACAGATTTCAGGTTGTGATGAAGACTAAAGGTGATCCAACCAAAACACTGAGTTTCAAGCTTGTTAAAGCTGTGCAGACACTGAGTTTGTACACATTTCAATAATGATCTGCACCTGTTTCCCATTTTCCTAGCAAATATAAAGAAATCAAACGTGAGTCAAGACTTTTGCACAGTACTGTACAAGCATTTTATTTGGGGGTCAACTGACAATAATTATCATTTTTTTCGGCTTTACAGTTAGAATGTCATGGTAAAAATGGTAAATGGCCTGTATTTATATAGCGCTTTACTAGTCCCTAAGGACCCCAAAGCGCTTTACATATCCACTCATCCAGTCATCCACCCATTCACACACACATTCACACACATAGACGTCATAGGAATGTACTGAAAAGGTCTATTGATGTTTCGTTGTTGCATCTTTCCATAAAGAAATTGACTTCATTCTCTGTCAGTGCAGATATAAAGCTACTTTCTCTGTGCTCTCTGTAACAGATTTAACCTGACTGTAATTCAACTGAGCTAACTTCATTATCAACTGATTTCAAATATATCTGAGCGCTGCTGCCCACCCGCTGCTCTCTTCACAGACAGAGGGCATGCCTGCCTGCTCCATTTACATCACCATCCCCTGTGTTACAGACTCGGAGACATTTAATATTTCCATTGAGAATCTAGCCAATGCAAAAACGTCCATTGTGAGCCAAGTCAGTCTTCTTTGCTTAATGAAGTACTCATCAATTATTCATGTTTAAAAGCTGTTTTCATTTTTTCCAGGCTCCTGCTTTGTTTTGCATTGATATGATGTAAAAAAGGAAGAAAAAAAACAGGAAACAAACCTGAGGGGGTCTTTGCTTGTGTTTTCTGAAACAGGCACAGTGGAACGGCTTGACAGGACAAATAATAATAAACAAGACGGACGGTCTGAGGAAAGAATTTGATTTAGATGTCATCAGCCTGAAGGAGGACGGCTTGGAGAAGGTGAAGTGTCTAACCCATGCTTATACCGTTAATACATGTTACTGTTATTCTGTTAATACACATTAAAGCAGAGCTGAGTATCATTAATGAGTATAGACAGAGCTGTTAACTGCATTTTCCCACAAATATGCAAAAAGATGACTTGTCTTTAAACCAATATATAGACCAATTTAATTAAGACTACATAAATCTTGAAATGTGGTGTCTTAATTATGCATTTAAAAAGTAACTTTTTGAACTGTTTTGACACACTGCTCTCTCAAAATAACTTGTAGCTGTCTCTTCAAGCTTGCAAGTGTGTGCATGTTCCTTTAATCACAGTGACAATGCTACTCTCGGTTTTGACAGGTCATTAAGAAGCTGTTACCTGTTCATGCTATCATCACTGCAAAGACTTTAAACCTCGGTTAACACAGTTGGGTGTAAAAACTGCTAACAGAAGAATTATTCCCCCTTCTGTGATCTGTGATTAAAATGCTTTCTCTTTATTATTTTTGCAAGACAAACACAGGCAACAACCGCTTGAATAAAGTGTGGAAAAAGGTCTGTACTTTAGCTGCCACGGCACACTAAAGGAATATTGACACCTACTAATTTACTATACCTTTGTGACGTTACCCCTTTTCATTAAAAAATAAAAAGGTTCAGGTACTGGTGGTTCTTAGAAATGGTGTACATTTCTCTACTGGCATTTCAAGTTTATAACATTTTGTGAGCCTTTCCTTTTTTCCCCCCTATGTCTGTGTTTTTCATATTAACTTTTCTACTTGTTACTGCTTTCTTTTCCTGTCTTTACCTTATTTTCCTCAATTGTGCGAAGGTTACCCAGGTAGCAACTATTTAAAGTCCAGCCACTGTGGTTATTTGGATATTTTATTTGTTACAGATTGGTGTGTGGAACTCCCAAACAGGCCTTAATTTATCAGAAATTAACAAGGATTCATCCACAAATGTAACAGACTCAATGGCCAATAGGACCCTTATTGTCACTACTATTCTGGTATGAACAGACATAAAATCATTGCTAGTGAGCATTTGATTTCAAATGTATTTGTATTATATAATCCACTGAAACCTTTCTGTCGTTCACCAGGAAAATCCTTATGTCATGTATAAGAAATCTGACAAGCCGCTTTATGGAAATGACCGCTTTGAGGGTTACTGTCTCGACCTGCTCAAAGAGCTCTCTAACATTTTGGGCTTCTCTTATGAAGTAAAGTTGGTGTCAGATGGCAAATATGGAGCTCAGAATGACAAAGGGGAGTGGAATGGCATGGTGCGGGAACTTATTGATCATGTGAGTACTGATCAGTCAGTCTTAATGTAAGAGAGAAGACGTCTTGTTCAAAGCGTCACAGTGTCTGCAGCTGACAGTGATTTTTGCTCTTTACTAGGTGGCTGATCTTGCTGTGGCCCCTCTCACTATCACATATGTCAGGGAAAAAGTTATTGATTTCTCGAAGCCATTCATGACGCTGGGAATCAGCATCCTCTACCACAAACCCAACGGCACAAATCCAGGAGTCTTCTCCTTCCTTAACCCACTCTCTCCTGATATCTGGATGTACGTGTTGTTGGCATGCCTTGGTGTCAGCTGTGTGCTTTTTGTTATTGCCAGGTAAAGAAAAAAAAGTGCTATTTGATGTGAACTTATTATAGTTGCTTTTACATTTAAGCAACACTGTTTATGTAAAGGCAAAATTTCAGTTTAACATTTTGACTTTCAGTCTGTAACAGGCCAATAGTCACTTATTAATTTTAACCGATGATTTTTTTCATTCATAACCTTTAGGTTTACTCCTTATGAGTGGTACAACCCTCACCCCTGCAACCCAGACTCGGATGTGGTTGAAAACAATTTCACTCTAATAAACAGTGTCTGGTTTGGAGTCGGCGCACTTATGCAGCAAGGTATCCCTTTATTATCTTTTTATGCAGGCAGAAGTTTTCCTTTGGTAAAGCACATTTAATCATTCCTTTTAAGTATTCATTTAATTTCAAGTAAGTAAGTATTCAATTTAATTATGAATCAATAATGTGATTTGTAATCTTATCTGATAGGATCTGAACTGATGCCGAAGGCTCTCTCTACAAGGATAGTTGGTGGGATATGGTGGTTCTTTACCCTGATCATTATCTCTTCATATACTGCCAACTTGGCCGCCTTCCTCACAGTGGAAAGAATGGACTCGCCAATTGACTCCGCTGATGATTTGGCCAAGCAAACCAAAATAGAGTACGGTGCCGTAAGAGATGGCTCCACCATGACCTTTTTTAAGGTAACCGTCTTTTTGTTTTACAGGACAATTGTAGGGGAAGAATGGAAATAAGAACACTGCTTTTAATTTTAATTAGCCTGGCAAGTTTTACCCTTGAGCCAACAGTCTTCAGTCATGTGCAGCCTGACTGGCTGGCATAAAATTGATTTGGCTTGGAAAAAGAGGAGGGTTAAAGGTTAGTGTCTTGGAAATTTCCCCATGTATCAGTTTAACAAGAACCTGTGGGAGACTGTTCCATAAAGATTTGACGGATTTATTATTTTGCCTGCAGCAGACCCAGCAGTTTATCTAAATCTATGGTGAAAATTGAATGAACTTGAAGAGATTTGTGCTCTGATGCACAGCAGGAGATGGCACCAGTCAACAGATACCCTGCAAATATGGTTTCATTTTAAATATTAGAAGCAGGCGCCAAAGGTGTGGAAAGGTGTAAAGATGCTTTCTTTTGTCTAAAATGCCGTTTTGGTGCTTGTAGATTTGACCGTGGTTTTAATAATCCACAAATGTTGATTTTGATTCAACAGAAATCGAAAATCTCTACTTATGAGAAAATGTGGGCTTTCATGAGCAGCAGGAAAAACACAGCATTAGTGAAAAACAACCGTGAAGGGATTCAAAGAGTCCTCACTACAGATTATGCCCTCTTGATGGAGTCGACCAGCATCGAGTACATCAGCCAGCGCAACTGCAACCTCACACAGATCGGAGGCTTGATAGACTCAAAGGGCTATGGTGTTGGAACCCCAATTGGTAAGAGTGATCACTATATAATAATTTCAGTAATAACCATTAATTACCATGCTCCTTCTCAGAAACCTAAAGATTACGTTACTGTAATTCCTGCTATAGGCTCCCCTTACCGAGATAAGGTCACCATTGCAATCCTGCAGCTTCAAGAAGAAGGGAAGCTCCACATGATGAAGGAGAAGTGGTGGAGAGGGAATGGCTGCCCAGAAGAGGATAGCAAAGAGGCTAGTGCCCTGGGCGTGGAGAACATAGGGGGAATCTTTATTGTATTGGCAGCTGGACTAGTCCTCTCAGTTTTTGTAGCAATTGGAGAGTTTATTTACAAATCCAGAAAAAACTTGGACATCGAGGAGGTGAGCGTCGGCCAGTGCGAATGGCACAACAAGTATTAACAAAGACTGTTATGACCATACTACACGTTTGTGTTGTCGTTCCAGGACTACAGCAATCACTAGGCCAATAAAAACTGAAGTCTGAATGTGTCGAACTGCATTGTTACAATCAAAACAAGTTTTTAAGGCAAAGTTTTGTGTTTTCAGTAGTTTTTATGTAGAGCACACAAACATTTTAGTCTCGATTGGAAGAATAGGTTAGAAACCCTTTTTATGATGATGACAGATTGTTGTTGACTTCTGACATCGTGACTCTTGACCATCTTGGCCTTGCTCTTTGTTTTTGTTTTTTTAAACATTACTCCGTGTGAGAGAAATGTCATTTTCATGGTGTTATGGGTAAGTGATGGTAAGTGGTATCTTTCCAGTAATGACCGATTCTCTTATGACACGTTTGTGATTTTCATATTTACAGCGCACGGGAACTTTGACACATTTACAAACTTGTTGATTTATTTGACAGTTTATGAGTGAGTACTCCCTCAACATCTTATTCATCAAGTTGCTTAATGTCTGTACTTTTTTTGTATCATATGAAGTTTATGAAATGCATGGATACGTTTTGTCATGTTGGAGCTGTTTCAAAATGACTAAAAATATGTGAGAACATTACATCCTTTAACCTTTAACTTTTTGATTGTTTTGCTTTTGATCCTGGGCCTTCACTGGATCGGGCCTCAACTTACACGCACTTGAGGTTGCATTTAGAAAACTAAAGCCTTGTAACTCTAATATGACTTTTATATTGCAGCCGTCTCCCTTTCTCACATTCAGTTGTGATGTTTTTCAGTCTGTCTTTTCTGAGAAACGGCTTTCATGAGACACATTTACTCACGTTATCCAAGAAAAGAGGTGATGTGATTACTGACTTTGGGTTTTTTGGCTTTTGGGTTTGAACTGCACTTTTTTTAAAAAAAGCCACTGCATTACACACAAACACACACACAACTATATTTACAAAAGTTAAACCCTTGGCACACATATAAGCTGTTGGTATTTTTAGTACAGACTAACAAACAATCCTGTACTTCCAAGTCACTTCTCCCACATTCACCATGGATATAAAGTCGTGTATTAAATTGTGCATCTAAAACCATTAGTTCAAATGGATTACAAATAAAATGTAAAGGATAGAGATGTAACCTCAGCATTCAAGAAAAAAATGGGTTTGATGACACATCCTACAGTCCATTCATCCCTGATTCACCTTTCTCTTTGCCTACCTGTTTCCCCTCAATAAGGCATAGCTTTGAAAATAAAATCCTCATCCTCATCATTATAAAGATCCACATTAAACATTCCTGGTTTAAAATTGGCCGGGCCTTGTCACACATATTTGAAAATCCTGCAAATGTAAGGAAAGTATTTTGGGTGAAAGTCTGATACTGTATCCTGCTTGTTTTGTCTATACATGCAGGATTAGTGTCACATTTCAGATGATGGAACAGGAATAAGTGTAGCTATGACTAAAGACTGTTAAATTACTCATTAGCTCAGTTTAGACTTGGACTGTTTACAATGTCTATCGAGTGCCACAACAGTTACCCAACAGATGATTGCAGTTTCTGGCATTCCTAAACATTAGTGATGTACTTTATTGTACCTTAGGTACCTAAATATTGAATACTTGACCTAAATATTCATAAAGAATCAAATATTAAATATTATAAATTTGCTAGTCTGCTTGTATGTTTATAGTTTTTTGTATGTGCTGAAGAAAAGTTTTTAATATCTAAAAAGTTAGACATTAACTGCATGTGACCACAATTTAAATGTATAGTATTTAGACAGTGGTATGTTTGCATAAAGAACACAGCTTATAATTTTTGTCATGAAGCTATAAAGAGTTGTTTCAACAGCTGAATGTTTTCAATGCTAACATATAAGACATGGGTATATCTTGTTATTATCATATTTATGTCAGAGTAAAGTCGAGTACAGGGTAGGCAGGATTAAAGAATACATTCCTCTGTCATCCAAAAAGACTTTTGGAAAACAAAACAAAAAACAGTTGCCTATCAATGTATTTTTTTCAGCTTTTCCCAAATATAAATATAGTCCTACAGATATGATATTTGCTTTGGGAGCGTTGATGGAAGAGCATAGAGACAGTCAGAAGGGGTTGCACTGTGTCTTTGTGGCTCTAGAGAAAGCATATGATGGAGTGCGAAGCGAGGCATGAGGACAGGGTGAGGTGTGCATTTGGAGGGACAGATGTGTTTAAGGTGGGGAGGGGATTATATCGTGGGTCTGCGCTGAACTTTTTCTTCTTTGCAGTGATGATGAACTCTCTGTTCAGAATGTTTTTGATGACTGAAAGAGAACATTTAACATGAAAAATAATATAAATGTTAATTCTGTCATTGAGATAGGTGTACTTTTTTACTGTTACTTAAAATACACCCTAGAAATGTGTTTTATATTGTTAAAAGATCTGAAATGGATGAAAAACCTACTCTGTTTGTCTTTGTTCAAAGGTTGATGGGTTCCTTTAAAGCTTTGTGGACCTTTTTCTGCACAGCTAAGCTGAAAAAAAAAAAAAAATTCTCTGCCGAATCTCTCACAACAGTGGTGTTAATTAAAAACCAGTGTACTTGGCAGAATTGAAGGCATCATTTCTTTGCTTTCCTGCTTGTCTTTTGACACTGATAAATTCTAACAATTTCCCCATGACTAGTAAAATAATATACTCTGGTACAGTATGGTGAGATTTTGTCCTGAAATACCCTTTCTTGTGCTTATAGTGTTCTAAATTCAACACAGGGAGGATTGTTAGGATGAGAAACAAGTGTGAGTGTAATCTGTCACTGTACAACCAGCTGTTGATCTGAAGGTTGCAGATCAGGGTGCTGCCTAGCTGGGGCCAGCATGTCCCCTTGTTCCTCTCATTTCTCTGTGAGATTACAGTATTATGGTCCTCATTCATATAATCCTGTCAATGGGATACAACCCCTTTCTCTGCACTACCCCCAAAATGAAGTTCAGCACTTCAGCATGTAATCAGTTAGGAGACAGTAGGTTATGAGACTTATGTGGTGCTGCAAGAAGGTCACAGACCTTATGCAGGGATTAATTATACAAGTATTGTGTCTTTCTCCAGGGTTTAAACTAGAGAATATTGGTATATAGATCTTCTCTCATTAGTTTTGCATTCACAGTGTTTCTATTTTGGAAACACCATTGGAGATGCTAATTGACATTTCAGGATATTAACTGCTATTTACTGGGTTTCAGACCGATATTCTAATAAGGATCTTGGTTCATGTTGGTGTGCTATTCCAAAATTGAATTGTCAACTTTTCTTCAGCGCTTTGTTGTGTTTATCTCACAAGGAGAATGGATAAGAAGTGTCATATTTGCAACCATAATCATGCATTCGAGCTTAAAATATTGGTGCCTGCTACCTTCTACATATTATTTGCATCTGTGCCATAAAAAGAAACTCTTTGTAGTCCTACACTGAGCAATGTCATTGTTATTAGCATATATGTTCTCCTTTAGCAATGTTGTGAGCAAGCTAACTTCCAGATGCTTTAATTTCTAATCTTGTTTTTTTCCCCTTTCCCTCCTGTTTCCTAATCCTTGCTCCCCGAGTGTAGTACGACTCCATCGTCAAGAGGATAATGACTTGAATCATTGCATAAAAGGGACATAAACGCTTTATGGAAATATAATCATGTATTGAGTGACAATAAAAAATCAAGGATTTATGATTACATCGACAATAAGCTAAGCCAATTCAAGCTGTCACTTTGATTTAAAAAATAAATGTCCCAAATAAGAACAAAGAAAATGAGAAGGGGAAGAAAAACAACAAACAACACCAAAGAAAAGTCTGAATGCAGATTTTAGGGACAAAAAAAGGAAATATAGGCTATGACACAGAATATGTATCAAGACGGATACTGAGGTCAAGAGGGCTTTGCATTAATCTCACATTATGACAGTTTAAGGTTTTGGTATTCTGATGAATTCCAGGATTGGGCTTTAACTGCTTTCATTTTGTTTGCTGGTCTTTAATCTTCTAACCCTGCGTTCTTAATCAGAACTCAGAGCAGGTTTTTAATCTCGCATGAATGAGGCCGCGGATTATGGGCCTCTGACCTTGCCATGCCTCGCAGCTGCTTCCTCCTCAAATCAAGTCTTTCGTCCTGTGTAGCTTGCAAAAGAGGGATCATCTTAGTCTTGCACTACAATGCTGTAAATTCTGAACCGTATATAAAAGACAAACACTGTGGAACTGAGTTTTAAGATGGAAATTTGTAAATAGATGCTTGCAGTGCTTTTTTTGAGGGTGATATTCACGCTGACACGCATCAAATTGAAGATTTGGTACAGATGTATCGTTCCAGCGGACAGAGATCATATCTGATGTCTGTAGTATTATAATGATCTAATCATTTTGCTTTTTCGATGGAAAACCAGTTGTTGTGCTCGGAGTGACATCTCTTTGTCAGGGTGTGAGGTTACTTTTCAAAAACAGGTTCCAGTTTTATGAGTTGCTCCATGGCTGCTGGTGTAATTACCACTTTAACCTTGAGGATTCTGTTCTGAGGAAAACAAAATGAGATTGCTTTTTCTTTCATTGTCCCCAAGTGCTACCGTAGTTATTTCAAAGGACACAAAATAATAATTCACATCAGAAGACAAAAACATCTTGACAAAATTGCTTCTTCAACTCTACAAGACTTTCTTAAAGTGGTGTTTCTGTTCTGTACTGGTTTGTTTGATCTATGATCCTCTCCAGTCTGCAATGAAAGAGGAGCACTCAGACCAGTGTCGGATCAGATTGTTGCTTTGCTTTGTTAAGCCCCTAAAATTTAAACCTTAACAAATGCACAACCCAATTTTCTTTTGGCAGCCTGGAACACGAACAGTAAAATGAATTACTAGTCATTGCTACTGATTGCTAAATGTTACTGCTCACAGATGAATCCTTGAGGAGGTTGTGTCACTGCAATAAATTTTAACTAAATGTTTACAAGAGTGAGAGAGGAAATAATATTCCTTGTTTGGAATATTCTTGCTGTATCATTGTTGAATTTGTGAGCTTTGGCAAATGGCTGATTATTATAAAGTATTACATAAAGATTGTTTGACAACAGTTATAAGTGAGGGGTCACTGACTAGCAGACTGATGTGTCATCTTAGCGTCAACCTCAGAACATCCAAACCTAATGTTTATTGTGTATTTGGGATGTATTTTAAAGATTGTTGTCTGCATCGTCGATACCTGCAAAAGGATTAAATGTTGCCCTAAACATGTGGACACTTAGGTGTGTGCCATTTACAGACAACAGACATGTTGATGGCTAAAATGCAGTTAGGATTTTTTTTTTTTTTAAATAACATCTGTCTATGTGAAGGAGACGACAGATTGCTTTTCATTTTTATAGGGGCTACAGGTTTTTATTGTGTAGAACTACCACTTCTATACAATAGGCAAAAACTTTACAAACTCAAATGACTGGTCGGGTGCTTTTTGAGGAAAGCTATCTTTCCTGCATCTACAGAATAACCCTGAAATCTTAGTTGTTTAAACTGCAGGGATTACAGGGATAGTTGTCAGATATGCCGTACTTTTTTAAATTTCCTGTCTGCAGATTTCCAGGGTACCTTTGCTCTTCAAAGTGCTAAGGTCATTCATCAGCCTCCATCTGACTCTGTCTTTAATTTCAACCTTTTTTAGAGCCTGCTGAATTATTCTTTGCAAAGCCACTGCAGAAGTACTAAGTCTCTAGACAACTATGTTACATATTGTGTTTATAGACATGAACTTATGAAGACATGAACTTGTATTGTTGATTTTGTTGGTTAAAGTTTTTTAACTTTGAAGGTTAAAGTTAATTTGTTGGCATGGCCAAAAGATTTTAGTAGGAGCCAGAGATAAATCACAAGATTTTTTGTTTGTTTGTTTTTTAAACCCGGGTTTGTTACTGGGTTTTCATTTACTCAATTAAATAAGTTTTGTTTAATACATGATGAGATAACAGGAAATTGTACATTTTTCTGTCAGGTGGATTAGCACAAACTCCTTGCCTTCCCTTATTTAGAGTTCAGTGTGCAGTTACCCTCCCTGAAGGTCTAGTCTGAGCCTCTTATGTTACTCTAGTCACGTCTGTCTCATCTGGTGAGGTAGAGTTATACTTCCATCTACTGGCCAAACTCTGGTAGCGCACACAACCAAAGATTGGAAGTTGAAATAAAACAATGAATGATAACAAAGTGTTGTTTATTTAAATTTGTAATCCATAAAAGCATTTAATAAAAATACTGAACATGCAGACAAAATAACATGTAACACAATGCCATCAATATTAGCTCTGGGTTAATGTGCAATAGTGCTTGAAACAAGCATATACAAAGATGCCCTCATCTTTTTGAATCCATATTACACAATTGCATAAGGCACATTTTGCATAAAATGAAATAACTTCTTATGTTCCCTTGTAACACTTTTAGACCTACTAGAGTTTAAAATACATTAGTATTCAAATAATGCGGTTGAAAAGTTAGGTTAGCTGTGTAAATTTGTTAGTCTACTGGAAAAGATTCAATTAGTTCTATGCCTATTTAATCAAAGAAATAGCATAGTTGTAAATATTAATACAGTATGTGTTAAGATTAAAACAACAGACTAATTAGCGTAAAATAAAACATCTTTTTCATACCTGTTTGGGTGCGCAGCATGATTCAAAATACAGTCAGGTTATGAGCTTCCCTGAGAAAAGCAAACCTACTTTTATCCTCCTAATTTTCAAATGGAAACTTTTAGGAACTACCTGAAAATTGCCTGCACCTTCAAAAAAATGAATACTGGTTAATTTTTTTGCTACAGTAAAATGAAGACTAGAAGTACAGCAAAGAAAACGCCTGACATGATAGTTGCCTCTATCAGGCAGACAATTATTTAGTGAAACACACAGGAAAGCATGTCTATCCCAAAAGAGGATTACAATATAGAACCAAGTTTCACCCTTTGACCTGTGGGCCTGCATGATTACAAGTGACCATGTAGTTTAAGTCCAGTTACTATAAGCTGCTGTTCATATCCAGACAGACACTGAGCAGAGATGTAGGAACAGGGCAGCCCGTGTCCTCTGTGCCGGCCTGCGGCTCAGCGACTTGAACTGTTTGTACAGTTTGCCCGCTCTGCTCACACTCTGAACTTACCAATTCAATTGCTGGAACAATGTTGGGAGAAGGGATGGGAATGTCTTGCGAGGAGAATCTGGAAAGAATCTGTAACTGGTCCTGATCAGAGCAAGATTCAACACTTTTACACAGGCCACAAAGGCTCTGCTGCATGTCCTCAAGGTTTTGCTTCAGTTCTGTTTGCTCCTGGAGCAGCCGCTCTTTCTCACTTTTCTGTGGGGAGGATAACAGTAAAGCTCACTCATTTTTGACCTTTTAATAATGCATTTGGTTCATTTCATCTACAATTTAACTGTACAATTTTTTTGAAAGCCCAGTTACTACTAACGAGTACCACCTCTTGTTTCCCTACCTGCAGGCTAGCTAGCATTTTCTGCTCTCTGGGATACATACTGCAAAGCTGAGAAACCTGCAGCAGGTTCTTATGAAGAGAGCAAGGTGTACCACTGCTAGCTGCAGCTGGAGTTCCAAGGAATGATGTAATCAACATGAGCTGAGGCTAGATTATTAGCACTTAATAAAATACATAAAAAGACATCAATCAGTGGAGCTGGTAGCAAACATTTAACCAAAATTTCTCATATTCTCTCTATAGTATTTTAATATACTAGTCCAGTCAGTTCAATCTATAAACCTATCTCTACCACTCATTATTAAAGTTATTTCAATAAAACAGGATACATTCAGTTACTTTTACCACCCTACTTACAGCCATTTATGTTATATAAAGTGGACAAGAACTCCTATGATGATGAAGAAATCAAGGTTCCAGTTATCCTGCCTGGGACAGGGTTACCTGGGTACAACCTTGGAGCTAGAGGGTGAGTGCCTGGTTGCTGCAATTAAGGACAGGGTTCAGTGCCATTCAGATTGGGGCGAAGGTTCTGGCAGTCCTATCCCCAGCTTCCAAAGCTAGCTTTTGGTACACAGAATGTTGCTTCTCTGGTGGGGCAGAAGCCTAAGCTGGTGCACAAGGTGTTGAGGTGGCACTGCTGTTGTAATGTTAAACCCAGAACCAGATGGTGACCTATGGAACTCTAGATGCAGCTGACAGGTAACAGCAGTGGACTGCAGCTCTTGCAGTAGCTGAAGCAAAAAAACGTGTGGGAGGGGTTTGATGTGACCATGAAATGAGACTTTTGGTCTGACGACTCAGGAGGGGATAATGGGGCTCTACTCACATTAGATACAATAGGGGTGGGATACTGCTGACCTCCACTGAGGACTGAGGTGGTGGGAAGGTGGGAAGTATGGGGTATCTGGTGTGTTGTTATGAGCCATTCGGACCCTGTGCAACCACAGCGAGAGCTTGGTTTGCATTGCTGGCAGAAAATCGGATTCATTCAGGTGGCTGATGATCTCCGCTGGACACAGATTTGTCACAGATTCCGTTCAGTTTTTTGGACACATCATTTGGACGTAGCCAAGTAGGTCTTAACATTTCAGGGTAGAATTTTGCGAATGATGTGGTTGTGTTGCCTTCATCAAGCAGTGACCTCCAGCTTGCACTGCAGCGATTTGTGACCAAGTGTGAAGCGGCAGAAATGAGAATCAACACCTCCAAATCCAAGATCATGATTCTCAACCAGAAAAGGGTGGAGTCCCCACTCCGAGTCTGGGAGGAACCGCTGCCCCAATTGGAGGAGTATCTTGGGTTTTGTTCACAGCTCAGAGAATACTGGAGACTGAGACTGGGTAACCAGATAGGGGTTGCGTCCACAGTGATGCAGACACTTTACTGATATGTTGTGGTGAAGAGAAAGTTGAGCAGAAAAGCCAAGCTGTCAATTTGTCTGACAAATTACATTCTTACCCTAAACTATGGTTACGAGCTCCGGTTAGTGGCTGAAACAATGAAGATAATGGATACACTCTGTGAAATGAGTTTTCTTGAGAAGCTGACTGCGCTGTCCCATATAGACAGGATGAGGAGTTTGGATATTAAAGAGTGACTTGTAGAGCTGTTGCTTCTCCACATTGAAAAGAACAGTTGAGGTGGCACCTGACTAGGATGCCTCCTAGGTGAGGTGATTTGGACATGTGATACCAGGAGGAGGCACCCCCAGTGCCCAATGGTGAGATTATTTCTCTCAGCTGGTCTGGGAACAACTCAGTGTTTCCCTGGACAAGCAGGAAAGCAATGGTAGGGAGAGGGAAGACTAGACTGCTCTGCTTAGACTACTGCCCCTGTGACCAGAGTGTGGATAAGGGATAGAAAAAGGTGGTAAGGATGCGCCAGAAAGAAGTGTTATCCACAAAGCTGCAGTTCACAGTGGTCATCATGTCAAAGTTAAAAAAAAATATTACTAGTTTATGAAATTACATTATAGCATGTTTAAGAGTATGTTTGGAAAATCAGGCATGTTAGAGTCAACTTACTAATCCTTTGATTTCACATTCTAGCTGGTATATGCTGTCCAGTTTTCTCTTCCGGCACCGCTGTGCAGCCACACGGTTTTTACTTCGTCTACGGACGTCATGGACGAAGTCCAGCTGCTCCTGGGTCAATGAATGTTTTTTCAGAAGCTGCTGAAATTCACTCCGGCTCAGCACTGAGATTTGCTGCACTGGGAATGGAAGCTGAACCTGAAGATTAGAGTTAAACAATTTAGATTAATTAGATTTTCTATCTTCCATTACCAATAACCAAACATCAGACACATATATAATAACAACCTCTTCCGCTCTTTTGTTGTTGGCCTCAGTATCGCCATCTGTGTCCAGGTCTGAGTCATCAGCAGAGTTTATTGAGGAGGACATACAAGGGCTCTTCTCTGCCTGAGACAAGCTGTCGGTGTGTGTAGCTGCATCATCACCTGTTCCAAGGTCCCTGAGAAAGGGACAGTCTCCTACACTGGCACTCAGGTCCAGCTGCTTAAGCCAGTGAAAGTCAGATGCTTTTGCTAGATTATTTTGTTCCACTGGATCCACAGGAAGTGGCTGAGCCTGAGACGGGCAGAGGTCGGACCAGAATCCTTTTGCCAGATGTTCAGCCACCTCCCTCTCCACGCGACTTCTCTCGCCACATCCTTCTTCATGGCTTAGAGTAGTCAGTGCAGAGTTTGAAAGATCACCTGTCATTCCCTGTTCAAAGTGAGCCTCACTCTGTTTTATTAAAGTACTGCAATCTTCTGCCCCTGAAGTCTCGAGTGGACATGAGCTAGGGATGCAATTGGTTTCTGCACCAAGTGTCTCAACAGTTTGTTTAATTTCTCTGCCTGGTGGATCAATGAGTTCTGGTGGATTCACATCCCCCGAGGCTGACAGCTCACAAGATAAGCCGCAGTCTGCCAAACTCATCTCACTTTGACTGCACACGTCTCCCATCTCTAAAATGTCTTTTTCACAAAACTGAGACGGATGATCTGCTTTGTCAGAGTTTGGGCAAGGCAGAGACAACATGGGGCACATGCCATTTCCTGTTAACTCCAGAGATAAGGGGGCCATTTGTGGTCCACAGTTCTCCAAACAGAAATGTTCCTCCCTGCTGTTTGTCTGACCTTGTGCACTCTGTGGACACTGCGACGGGAAGTCTATTTGTTCATCACCTCCTGAAGGCACTGAGCTGTGTGACTCACATGATTCTGGTTGGCTACTCTCTGCACGAGAGCCAAAACTTGCACTAGGATCCCGGCTCTGGCAACAGACTTTTTGCTTGACCTCCTGTGAGGATTTTTTGCTTTCACAAAACTTTGGGATGAGAAAATCAAAGCATGTCGACTCCAAGTTGTGAAATCCTAAAACCTCAGCACTGCTGTGAATAGCATCAATGTTTTCTTTGGTAAAAAGGAGCTTTGATGTGTAGGCAAATTGAAGCAAAGGTTCAAACCCCTCTACGGTCACCTGCAGGGGAAAGACATAAATTGTTGAAACATAATAAAACACAATGAAACTCAGGCAGCTCAAAAATTCAGTTTCAACAGGTCTCTTATGTACCTGTATTGACCTTTTTAAGTTGAATTTTCCAAACACTGCATATAAACTGTTTTTCACTCACATTATGACACAAAATGGACCAAGTAATAGAAGCTAGTGGACAGACAACAAATCTAACTATGCATACACTTTTCATGGATAATAGGGATAAAATAATGGTGCCTGTATAACATTACCACCATTTACTTTCAACAGTATCATCCATATTAGTTTTTTCCCTATATAAATTGGCTGAACCCCAAGGAACCAACCTCATGTGGCAAGGTGATGATGGGATTCTGGCTGGTGACACTGGTGACCCTGCTGTGAAAGTATTCACTGCAAGAAGCCAAGACAGAGCAATGAGCACGGAAACTCCTGTCTTCCACCACCACCGTCACATCACACAGGACGTCCTGCTGTCTCTGCTCATTCAGACACTGCAGAACGTGGGCGCTGTGCACTGCAGACTGGAAGGTGAACACCGATGTGCGAGGAGCTTGAAGCGCCATAGTTCTTACAAGCTCAGCCTGTGCAAAAAAGAGAGCCATATGGAGTTAACTAAATGTCATGATTACACAAGAAACATTTCTCTAGGTTTATCAATGTGTATTATATTATAGTGGCTACAGAGTGGAGCAGTTTACACATTTGCCTAACAAGTGAAAAATTCCCAGCTCAAGACACAAATCTCTTTGAGTTGGAAAAAAAATCTGCCAAATCATGCAGAAGTAACTATAATTATTTTCTTCTTTCGTCTAGATTTTGCATCCATTTTAATTAATTTGTAAAAATAAATAAATAAAAGACACTAAGTTGAAATAACAGAAATTCATGGGTTTCTGGTTCTCCGATGTTGGTACTGTAACTCATCTATGACGACATAAACCGTTCCAGATTTTAGACCAATTGTAAGCTGTCAACATGACTTTGAATGTATGAGTTTGCAGACATTCTATGGATTAAATAACTAAAAAATGAGCAGAATACAATACAACTAATCATTGATTGCACTAAAGGTGTCTTTAGCAAAGCCTTCAGTGTATCATTAGGCAACCACACACAGCTGCAAGGCACATTTTTTTTGGTGAAAAAAAAAGAAAAAGAATAATGTATCACAATATTTTGTGTGGCAATAGCATATCAATACAGGGACACCAAATATTTATATTTTATTTAATTAATTAAAATACTGGGAATATTACGAACAAGAGGGTTCATCTCATGTATGACCGAGATAATGTTAGCCGAGCAAATTTATAAATCATGAATATATAAATCAGCAAGACTGAAAAACAATGGACACACTTAGCTCAGCAAAGCTAAATCCTGATTCAGAGCAAACTAACGGCCCAGTCACTCAAGTAAAATAGGACAGCAACTTCCTTGCAATCAAAAATAAACTAATACATTAAAAAAAATAAAATAAATCAGTGGCTGCCTTGTGACTGTATTTAATTTTTTTCTAAATGTCTAAATGGTTGCTCACAGCTTGAGAGTGTTGCACAAAAATGACCATTTGGGACTGCACTGATCATTCAGTCCAAATGAGTCTTTATCAGTTTTCTTATAAAACAGGGAGATTCCGGAATACAAATCTAATAACTAAGTGCCAGCTTCTGTCTATATAGACAGCAAAAAAAAGTAGCTTTCAATGATTTATCACAGTTAAGTGTTATATTAACAGAAACAGACTGCATGTAATTACCAACTTGACCCAATTCAATCAAAAACTGACGGCAGACCCTCTTATGGTAACATTTATTGCACATTTTAGTGACAGTGTTTATATGAGTAACAATCTCATTTTGTGGGGAAAAAAATAAGCGAAGTGAAATAACTTTATTTTACTGGATAAAACAGACTGACAATGTTAAACGTAATATGCAGTTGGAAAAAAAGTGAGAAATCCCAATGTTGAGTATTGCAAGGGGAGCTTTAGTATTATGTAAAGTTATGTAAAGGTTCAGGAACTTAAACTGCTGTTATGGGCAGCAGAAGTGGTACAAGACATCCAACCAGCTACTTGGCGAAACACTTGATTGTGAATAAAATTCTCCCTCAAGGAAATTACTGATGAATAGTTAGTCAAATAGAATTTAATACCTATATAAGTATAACGACATGTAAAAACATGCTCCGGTGCGTTTTTCTTTTAATCTGACTAAAGTAACGAAGAGAAAAATAACTATAACGTTCGCTAAAATTACTTCTAACATAGTCCTTAAATTAGGCGACTGCCTCTCAATATTTAACTAACTTCGTAAATATTTAATCTTGCCGATAACTAATAGTTCCCCACAGCAAGGAAATGTGGGTTAAACGGTGACTCTTTAACTTGTACGCCAAGTTCAACGCTAAAATGCTGACTCACGTTTAGCCAAGTTAATCAACTGGGCCTGGTGGATAAAGGCAATAAAAGCATGTCCAAAATTATGATCAGTTCGTTATGTTACTGACGACTTATATTAGATTCGTTTAGCTAAACAAATAACAGTGGCAATTGTCCGCAAACGGAAAAGCTTGAGGCTAGGCCAGACCGTTAGCTTTAACTGCGCTCAGTTCGTGTTTATCCTTTACTAGCAAAAAACAGAAACTGAAACATTCCGCTATTGTGACTTTACTCGATGCTCTTTAAAAAGCCAAACGTTTACTGACCTGCCATGCTACCTGGATAACACTGCCATTAGTAAATTTAGGGATAGGGTACAGATGCTTCTGGCCATTCCGAGCCTGACTTCACTGTAGTCATGTGACAGCTTGGACAAGGAAGCGCTAGCAGCACTTACTGCGCAGACTCATAGCAAGTATCGACAAATCAGCACACAGGAGAGGAGTTTGTTTTTGCAACATTTAATTACATGACATTGATTTAAAAAAGAAAAAAATATATATCTACATATCTATCCCAAGCTTTCATTAATATACTGAAACTGTGACTTCCAGTTCCATATTGTCAATTAATTGTCCAACTAGGTTTTCTGTACTGGTATGAGACTGATAAAAATGACCTGTTTAATATTTCAGACACTGTCATACAATTTCAGACACTGACAGAACAGGTACAGGCGGAAATATTCTTTGAGATCCCTTAGAAGGTGAAACTGAAGCAGCATTGGTTTATTTGGATTTCCTGAGTGGTGATGCACAATTAGAGGAGCCTTTCATAGAAGAGGAGGTAGGCTTGGCAGCTCTGGACTTTACTCTCACTCACAGGTTGAATGCTTGTGTCGCTGATGTGGAACCAGGATCCTCTGGATGGCTCTGCATCTCCTGAAGGGAAACGATGAGTTTATACATTTCATTTTTAGAAGTGTTTATCCTATTAACGGTCAAGCCAGAGTACACCCACCGTCTGTAAGTCCATTGGATGAGGGCTGAGGGCACTCGGGCCGCACTTTCACATAGGCCGTGTAATGACCTGACCTCATTGTTCCACTGTGCTCTACGATGCCATACAAACCGTATAAGATCTGACTATGTCCCTCTGGTATATTCTGTTTCAAAACAACTAGTGGTTAGTGCTTCTACATTTAATTCACTTATAGCCGTCTTTGTACAGTATAATAAAACATGTTACTTCCCATACTTACCTTGCATTTGACTGCACAGAAGGGAGCTAGATCCAGTATCATAGGAAAGGTGACATGTCTATTCACCTTACAAATACTGTAGCCATTCTACAGGTAAAAAACATCATTAAAATCCAAATAGTGATTTCTTGATTGCCTTACCATAAAGGGTTCAATGTTCTTTAAAGCTTGGCTCATAACTCTGTGATAAAAACCTTAGCTGACAGCAAACTGGATCAGTGCAGAGCATACCTGTTGAAATCTCTTTAAATGAAGAGTAAGGACTGAAGGTGGAGAGGAGATAAGGATTTGCTTGAAGGCATCAGTGTAGATATTCTTCTTGGATCCTAAACACAGCACAAAAAAGACAGTGGGTTTTAGTCGATCCCTAAACTATGTATAAAGAAAGTTTAATAATGGTATTAGAAAAGAAAATTACACATTTGTGATACTTCACTATGTAAAATTGCATGTGCATAGACTACAGCAAAGGACATTAAATAGCAGACTAAGTACTGATGTGGAAGCATTTTAAATACCTCCAGACTTGTTGTTCCCCAGCTGCCGTTTGGTGCAGGTGACACAAAGTAAACTGTTGTTTTGCGTGAGGGTTTCTACTTCTGTGAATTGAAAAAGGCACGACTGCACTGAACACTCCTGTTTCTCTGGGATTGTCCGGACAGCCATCGTGTGGAAGGCCAGCTCTGGATCTTGGTTTATTACTGTATATTCCTTAGTCTCCATCACTCCATCTTCACTCTCCATGCTTTGTTCCATTGCGTCAGTGTCTTCTATAAAGGCATCATCCAAGGTTACTTTACTCATTTTCCTCACCAGCTGTGTGTCTTCCTCTTCTGTCTTGTCTTCTTCATGACCCATGTTAGCCATTTCATTGCATACGGTGCTGTCCTTTGAGTGCTGTTCCACTGATAAGGCAGTAAACCGGTTGCTGACTGATGAGTCAGGGTCACTCGCTGAATCCTCATCCTCTTCTTTTTCCTGCTCCACCTGCACTGCGTTGCAGGGCTTTTGGTCCTCTTCAGACACACTGACTGGAGCAGGATGTTGTGAATCTTCTTCAAGTGTTTCATTATCAGTGTTTTCCCTGTCCTTTGACTCTGCTGTAGCATCTGTGTGTTCGCTCTCAGCCTGGCTGGGAGAGGTGAGACTGTCCAAAGTGGCTCTACCCTCAAGCTTCTGCTGTCTTTTTTGATGCTGAAAGTCGAGATGGATTAATTTTGATTAATTAATGAATTAAGTTTAAGAAAAAAGAAACTTCCTTCAGTATGCATTCACTGACACACCTTTGCCTGCTTCTTTGCTTGCTTCTTGGCTTTCTTCTGCTGGTACTTGCTGCCAGCCCCAGTGGGAATGTCATCATTCCCACTAGTCCGAACAGGGCTGCTGCTGTCATCCTGGCTTGAAGCACTGCTCTTCTTTTTTTGGTTCTTCTTTCTATATGCCTATAGGATGCCACAATAGGGAACAATAACTGATACAGACATTAACAAATAACTACTCAAGTAACTATCAAAAAAAACCAAACCCAAATGCCTGCTTTACCTCATCAGAAACAGGAAGGGAAAGATCTAAAAACATCTCTGTGACCACAGAAACCTGTAAGGATGAACAAGTGGATATTTTTAGAGTGACATCATCAGGATATATTCTCTTACTTACTTTCTGGTCTTCATACATACCGTTCTACACTGCTGACACATAATAGTGCTGGTAATTTCACCACCAAAAACTTGGTCAACAAAGTTTTTTAGAAATCCATTTTTCTCATACTCTGAAAGAAGAAATTAAACGTCAGAGCCACATTTCTCAAAGAAAAGCTACTGTGCAAAAACTTTAGCAACGTACTTTTGTTTAACACTGATTAATAATACATAGCAGCATTACTTGCCTTTTAGTAGCGTTTTCAGCTCTCCATCTGTGCCTTCTCTAGATTGTTTCAATGTGTCCATTATTCCTGAGCTTATTCTCTGTTAACACAGATACAACCGTAATATTCAAAAGATGAAAGATACCTTTGATTAACCACAAGATGGAGACATCCATTCTTCACAAAACCTTAATTTTAGGGCCTTTACCCTTAAAATTTGCTCCTGTTAAAACCTCTGCACACAGAAAATTAACCAACTGTCTGAGAAGAAGAATTATAAGGTCATTAAATAGGACACAGAAAATGTTTTTAAAACACAATTTCTTACATTTAATGCCGCCACATAAAACAACTCACTATAGCAGTGTTCTGCTGTCAAACCAATCTATTGCAATGTAACATATAGCCCTCTGAAGAGCCACAGTTCTCATTTTAGTAGAAATCTATCAGACTTATATATGGGGAGATCTGTTTCAAACTCAGTACACACATTGTGCTCCTCGGCTCTCATGCCATCCAACAGGTAGCGCAGCAACTCCTGGCTATCTTGCTGCTGAAATCCTTTGAACCTGGCAGCCCTGCACAGATAAGATGAATGATGAGCCCCACTTGCACTAATGCTGGGAGCTATACTTTTAAGCACATTTTAAAGTTGACTTTTAACATAAAACTATAGTCATTCTTACTTTCTACAAACTTGTGTGAACAGCTCCCGTGGTGTTACTACACTCTTCTTCGATTCCTGAATCTCACAGAGTAGGTGATACATAGCCAAAGTCAGAGATCCGGGACCATCTAACTGCACTTCTATAGGCTCCTGTAATCATAATAAAGAAAGTTAGTTATAAATAGTAATGAGTAGAGGAACATAACTACTCTATTAAGTGGGGAAAACTCACCAGATCTAAGGAAGCACCGGGTTTAATGTTGAGACTTTTCTCTTCTGTCACTTTGTTGAGAGTCTGTCTTAAGAGTTGTGTTTGAGACAGATTCTGGAAAAGAAAACGATAGCAATCAGTAATAACTCTCACTGAACTCAAGACCGACATCCTGTAAGGATCAGTCTTACCTGGATGACTGCATTGAAAAAGCAGGTGTTTCCCAGATTGCTCAGACCCTTTACTGAAACACGACAATGCTCTTCAGTTGTGCTCTTCTTCTGAGATTTCCCAACAGTCTCTTTCTTTGTGTTTTTCTTTTGATGATCCCCGTTTTCTTTGTTTTCCTTGTCTTCCTTGTCCTCATTTTCATCTTCTTTTACAGTCTCCGCCTTCTGTTTAGCTTCCATCAAGGCATCTTCCTCCTTGACCCCTAAAGAAAGCAAACAGGGTTGACATGGTTAGAAGCAGTCTAATGTATGTGCGTGTTAGACTTCCTCAGTGGTACCTACGTTTCTGTGGTCGTTTTATAGAATCTGAAGATGTTTGCTTTTTCAGGTTGGTTACTAGCTGAGCCAAATGCCCTGTTCTGGAGTAATGGACTTCATCATCACATATATAACACCTGCAAAAAACCAAAAACATATTATTCTCATTTCAAACTTGATGTAGAGGCCTATGATTAGCAAAACAACATAAAATGCTCACCACACACTAAAGTTGTCCAAGCTGACCACCAAGCAGTGTGGATCAGACCGGGGAGTTTCATAATGTTTGATGGCATGCTGATTCTCAGAATTCCGTCCACATCCCTAGTGGAAAAGATGCATTTAGAAAAAATGCACGCCATTTTAAACCCAATGATAAATAGGTACAAAAAAAAATAAATCTCACTCTATGGCCGCATTTCAAGCACATCCACAATCCTGTTTCTTGTTCTTCCTCAGCCTCATGTGGCAGATGGTTGTTGATATTTTCTTTATTTTCTTCCTGCTTACAATCCTGACAACTCGTCCAATCTGAGGTACCAGAAAGTTTCTTGAGGAGAGTTTGGTCTGTTCCCTTTTTAATATGCCTGCAGGATGGAGCTGTGACAATAAAGATTTAAATGAAAAGGAAGTCTCACACTAGGCTTTCCACAGGTTGTTGCATGACATGAAAGATGATGAAATATTCTTTACCTGTCAGGTCAAGCTCATCATCCTCCTTGGAGGTCTTGTCCTTTCCCCTCTTCTTTCCCATTTTCACCTTTAGAGATGGGAATCGAACACAGCACTCAAGTGAAACAGAAGGCTAGCTTTGGCTAATACCTACATGAGATTATAATGCTGCTAATAGAGTTCAGTGACGGCAAATTCTGTTTAAAAAAAAAAAACACACACACACAATAAGAAATATATCGTTAAATTTAATCATCACCCTCATGGGCCATTCAACTTACTGTGACAAACCGAGCCTAAAACCCTAATCGTCTTCAGTTTCGTTTACTTTCTATTCCTGACTTCTTTAATTCGGACATATTTACGTTAGACTGTTGACTGGAGAAATAAATCGCGAGCTTTAGTGTAAATACGTTGATTCGCAAAGTTTAGAACACGCAAAAATAACTCCAGTGATTTGGCAGGAAAAAAAATCCCAGCTGACACATGCAAAGGAACAAAATGTGAAGGGGCCGCTGTTTCTGCTGCCGTGTGTTTCCTGCGTGCGTCGGCCAAAAGAGTCCGAGTTCAAACAAAACTTCATTATTAGACGTTGCGGGGCACTAGACAGTAGTAAACTTCTTCTGTATGTCTATACTGTATACATAAAAATACTATTTTGTTTTCAGATTTCATACTGTTCTGTAACGAAATCAATTTTAGAGGCTGGTTTACGCCCGGAAACATGGTATGTGTTAGCATAAGTGAGTCATATTTTTGGACGTACCAGAAAACGGTGTAACTGGTAACTTTTTAAATGAACATTAGAAAAGATTGACTATTTTAGTTCTCGACTAAAGCAGCATGTCTTACTTGGAGTGGGCTGAGTCTCAGCTTGCAGAGATAGAGCTGCTAACCAGCATGTTCCCCACCGTGGAGGAGCTGGAGTTCACTGACCAGCTGGCACTAGCCGAGCTCAGGGACTACGTGGAGGGCTCAGCTTCAACAGGCGGCCCTCCACCGTCCAGACCCCAGTTTCTCATCAAACAAAAGCTGGACTCTGCGAACACAGAGGGGGTAACTAATCTGTCATTATATATAATTTTGTTTTAATCATTATTTAGTTTAATTTCTCATGTTTTTTCCCCCACACAGACGGTGTTCATTCTGTCCTGTGCTTACCCATCTGAATATCCTAGTGTGTTACCAGAAATAACAGTCCGGTAAGCGATTATCCTCATTTGAACTCCTAACATAAAGGAAAATAGTTAGGGAGCTCATCAGGAGAGTCTCACTTGCCTGTGTACAGACTTGTTAAAAAAAGAGAGAGAGAGCGAAAACAATAGTATAGTGAATAGAATACTAGTGGCCCAGGTTTTTCTACCATATAGGAAGCGCAGCCTGGATGAGCACAGATAGCATTCACAGTGTTGCCTTTAAATATAGTTTTGAATGAAAGAAAATTTAATTTGTGTAACAATAACACAGCCACAGCAGTAAGTGGAAGAAACAGTGCCTCTAATTTGTTTAAAGTGTATCATTAGTCACTTTAATTAATAGCACTGAACCTCCTGAAGCTGTGCTGTCATTGCTCCCAGATATGGAAATTCCCAGTGCCAAGTGACCTTAAATGTTCTTTGAAACCTTCTTAGAACATGTGTTATTCTTGCTTCAGGTGTTCTGGTCTCAGTAGGGCCCAGCAGACACAGCTCCAGGCACTTCTTAATGCATACCTCATGGAAAACTGCCAGGGGGAAATATGTGTGCTCTCTGCTGTTGAATGGGTGAAAGACAACCTCCAGCTTTTTATTGATAAGAGCTTATTAGAAGCCCCAGCTCCTAAGAAGGAGTCTGCCTCACCTCGGATGCCCGAAGTGTTCAGCCGGCTGTGGATCTACAGTCACCACATTTACAACAAGTCGAAAAGGAAGAACATCTTGGATTGGTCAAAGGAGCTGGGCCTGTCAGGATTTAGCATGCCTGGGAAACCTGGTATTGTGTGTGTGGAAGGTCCTCAATCTGCCTGCGAGGATTTCTGGTCCAGGTACCTTGCCTGTTGATTTGGGTTTTTTGGGGATGACTTAATCACAGCCAGAAGCCTGCTGAGGTGCCAGGTTTAATATTTTTCCAATCTTATTCCCCTATTTCACAGAGTGAAGGTTTTGACATGGAAGAAGATCATGATTCGACACAGAGAGGATATTTCCCTTGATTGTCAGAGTGAGGACAGCAGGCTTGTTGAACATATAGACTCCCTGCGCAAATTTACAGGCTTTGAAGAAGCAATGTTTGACCCCCATGGAAACAGAGGCAATCACATGGACCTTGGGCAGCTCTACCAGTTCTTGAATGAGAAAGGCTGTTGTGAAGTCTTTCAGATGTATTTTGGCATTGAAGGGAGGTAGTAGTCAGACCGAGATAATGGATGACAAGGCACCAGTTTTTGTACTGGTGCCTTGTCACTGAAATTACTTATTCTGAAAATAACTTTTAAATGAAATGGGAATGGAATAAGCTGATAAAATGAAACAAATTAACTAACTAACTTTTTGAGTTTCAAAGTTGTCATACCTGCAAAATTCACTGGAATAAAAAGCAGAAAGAACATTTCTGCAATTTTGAGGAACAGTTTTCATTTCTTTCTTCTTCTTTTTTTTTAATAGGCACATTTTATCAAAAGAAGGAAGAAAAAAGATGTTTATCTGAGAGTTTCCTCAAGGACTTTAGTTATATTTGCAATTTTAATACTCCTGCATATCACGAATTGCCCCAGGTGTTTATTTTCTGAAATGGCACCAGTGTGTTATTACTACGGGGCTATTATAGGATTTTCAGGTTTGATAACATTTTAATAATTGAACAACATTGTCAACAAAATGTTGGATATCTGTTTTTTTAAATCTGTTGATTTTCTTTTTATGAATTATAGATATCATAAGCATGGAAATTCTTTCTCCAATTTTCTTTGAATGATTAGTTGTTAGATAAATTATGCGTTGCTGTGGATTATACACTGGCAATTAAAACGTGTGGTTATTTATCATTAATCTTAATTTCTCCCCCACCAAGCCTTGGATGAAAAAAACAAACAAGTTCTCTTTGTTGATTCCCCTCTGGAGTTGTGTCTAACGTATTATGATATTAATGGATATTCTTGATTTTCTTTTTCTTTTCTTTTTTTGATGCAAAGTGCACTCCTTAGATACAGCCTTTAAAAGGTATCAATTCACCATTTTTATCACATAATAATAAAGAAATACAGAAGAATGTAAAGTCTTCAAACGAGTCTGAACACAGAGTAATTTAATTTAGGAAGTTAGATTGCCAAAGTTATATTACAAGTGAGACATGTACTTTTAGTAATTCCTGTGATTAATTTAGTATTAAAACTAACAATAAAAGGTATGATTAAGTCTGGTTCAGTGCACAGTTCTACGCTGAAAGGAAATAATACAAATTGAAGACAAAGTTGATGTTTAGATACATGCAGATTGCACTTGCAGACTCTGTTGGTCTACACTGTCCAGCAGATGGCAGCATAACATAATTAAATTGGGGAAACAAGGAAACAGTAATATCTTAACTTCCTAAACATGTTTAATAAAATCCTAACTTCTGTCTAAAAGCATGAGAAAAAAAGCTGGAATAGTAAAGCAATTATTTGAATTAATTGGTGTTCACTTGTTACTTATGTGAAAACTGACTACTGTGATTTACAAGCTCAGACAGTATGGAGTGCTGTAAAAACGGAGGGGTTGTATCTGCATTTGAACACAAATTAAAGCAGCCAAAACATCACAAAGTCCTTTACAATCTCCATTTGTGATTTTTTCCAAATAACATTTGAAATATTATGTGTTGAACAGATACTAAATCTAGAGGCAGCCATGAGCAGGAGTTCCTCACCTTGATTTTAGTCCCAAGCCTCCATTGTCCTGTGAGATGCTGGTTCATTTTACAGTCTTTGTGCTGCTTCTTTTGACAGTCCCTTTTCTGCCCCTGCTGATTTTATGGGTTCTTTTGTTCTTACAGTGTATATTCACTCTTGTCAGAGGTCTATTGGAACAAGGACTTCTGACTTTTATCTTCAAAGTCTCATCAGAGAGCCCTTCTGTTTCTTCGTTGAAGAGAGCTTGACTTCCAGGTGCATTCACATCATCTGATTCCTCAGGATCCTCAGTAGAATACTGTAAATCAGAAGAAGTGACCCCATCCAGATCCACATTATACATCTCTGGGTCTAATAATCCTTCATTAGTTAGTGCCTCTATATGAAGGTCTCTGCACTGAATCATTCAGCGGGGATGTGCATCATTACTATACTCTGTAAAGTTATGACTAATGATGTAAATCACATCACAGCAGCTTTGATAAAGGACTGAATCATGGAGTATGGACTGCAAATTACTGTAAGAAGCAGTCATGTTTCAATAAAGTAATTTGGTTTTCATGTTAAAAGTAGACTCACAGAACAGCAGATGACATATCCTAAAAACTGACCTGAAAATGTGCTAATTCTAAGGAAATTAGTCAATAAATGCTTGATTTATGGCTAAATAGAAAGCTTTGTATGGTTACTGTCAGACACTGTAAGTGTCCTTTCCCACTTATTCCTTGAATAGGTGAGCTGACGAATGGTGCTTGTGATGTTCCAGCACGTGATCGCGACATGTGACAATGACTGCTGTTCTAAAGTCATGATAAATTTATGCCTTGAAATATGAATGCCAAAGTGTGAAATGGCTCCATACCGTAGTCATGCCTGCTCCATCAGAGGTTAATTGGTTTCTACCTGCAAGCTGAACCTCAGTAAATGTATTTGTAATAGTTCATTGTTACAATTAAGATCTTAGGGAGTGGAAAACTGTTATTGACCTGTACTGCAGCTCTAGTGCAAATCATTAATACATGTTCACAGAGTCAATACTAACTTCCTTCTTGCTGTAAGTAACCTGTAGATTCCTTACCTTTTTACCTACTGGTAGATAGAGAGAGCAGTCCAGTGATTACTAAAGAATAAGAAAGCATAAATAGAAGCACAAATAATATTTTTTACATAAAAAATATTAAGCATGGTCTTTTTATTGAGTAAAATGATCCATTAATACATATCTGTGACTGCCAGAATCATCTAAGTCTTTGGTTATAGTATCTGGTGGGACCCCGTTTGCAACTGAATGTCACTGTGGATCAGCACGAGCTTAAAGGAATTTTAGCCTGTCTCTTGTACAGAGCAGCTTCATCTTATATGTTAGTAGGTTTCCTCACATGAACTGCTTGCTTCATGTCCTTCCATAACACTTCTGTTTGGTTAAGGTCAGGACTTTGAGTTGGCTGCTCCAGAACATTAACTTTATTCCTCTTTAAGCATTCCTTGGGAGACTGAATTGCATGGGTCGGTGTCTTGCTGCGTGACCCACTTTCTCTTGAGATTTGATTCACAGTGGTGCAATCCAGATCTTACTGTTTCGTCAATGATGTCCAGTCATCCTAGCCCAGACTGTGATTCTACTACAACTGGATTTTCCTGTTTTCAGACACTTCTCGAAGTTCAAATTTGGTCATATTCATCAGCAAACTATTGTTCCAACAGTCCTCTGGTTGTCCCATGTGATCCTTAATAAGTAGAGAATGGCAGCAATGTTCTCCTTGCTCCCATGCACACAATTTCTGTTTACTGTTCTCCTCCTAGCCAATGTGAAAGAGGCCTTTAGTTTAATAGAGCAGGATTTCTCAGTGTTTTGGCGACTGGGCACGAAGTTAAGGATCCAGCATTTGGTTGAGGGCTGGATGGGAAAAATGCACATATCAAACCAAATAACAAAGCTGACATTTCTTAGCTAAAACAGGTGTTAGAAGGAGGGCTTTCATACAACTTCAAGTAATGTAATTGCTGTCATATCAAAGGATCATGGTTTATGTAGGAAATGTAACTCTTGTTACATCTTATTCCATATATTGGAATATGAAATAAGTTTAGTAACCACCTATGTCTGTAATACTGAGCTTTTGTAATCTCTGTGTGAATTTAACTGCTATTCAGTGAAATAGATGAGAAACCTGCCCTCTGAGACACTTTGGATTCCTTTGTGAACTCTCAGAATGATCTTTGATATAGTTGAACACTCTGGGAAAGGAAATGGTGATCTTGAATCCCATCCATTTGTATCTGTCTGTGGATTCAATGTTTTTTCTCAGGTCCTCAGACGTCACCTTTTTTGTCACTGAACACTTTCCAAAATGTGTTATGAATCAGACTTTAATAGATCCCTGTTCTTTAAATAAATCTGAGTGCCAACTTACACTCATTGTCATCCCATTGATTGAATACCTGACTTTCACCTTCAAATTAAGTCCTTATACCTGAGATTCACACATTTGCTGCTCACGCATATGTAAAGTTTTATCATTGTCCTCAATAAGAACAATGTATTATTTCTTTAATTTACTTAAATTTCTTCGACTGCTATCAGCACTTGTGTGAAAATGTGATTATGTTAAAGGTTATACTTATGAAATATATTAAAAAGACTATAAAGGGTTTGCAAGCTTCTAACGACCACTATATGCACATTTTTAGATGCACATAAAGATACAGGCAACTGTGATAAACTTGAAAAATATTTGAGTTCAAATTCTTTGTCACATAAAAGTATACGATCCAGCGAATATCATATTGTAGCTTTGCAATTATCAAATCCCTACATCAAGCAATGTTGTGGGGACTTGTTCAAAAAGGTGTGTATACAGTAAATCTCTGGCAGGCCAATTGTAACACAAACACCGATAAACATTTATGAAAAAATGAAACCAAAAACATAAACGATCAAGGAAAGAGGCACACATCACTTTTATGCAGCAATTACCATAGGAGTGTGACTGTTGTTTAGGCTTGTCATGTGATATGAGATTCATCAAGATCTAAGTGGCTTGCCATCTCCACTATGCAATTTCCTGTGTGAAATACTTTAAGGGCCAAGATATCTAGTTTGTGTACACAATGCACTGTTGAAGCTGCAAGTCAGCACAGCTAAGTCATTATTTCAGATTGTCTCAGGAGTACAGAATCAAAGCTATGGGAAATATCACTGTCTGTCACAGTAACAGTCACACTGCACTGTGTAGCTACAGTGAAGTCCATTAATTTTAGGACAAGGACACAATTTTTGCAATTATGCCTCTGTGACTATCACAAAGGATTTTTAAATGAAGCAATCAAGATGTGATTTAAAGTCAAGGGGTTTTACAATATTATTGCATTCACCATTAATTTTACTTTTAGTGCTTACTCAAAAATAAATAGACATTTTAAAAATTTGAGTGAATGTGGACAAATTAAAAGGATCTTTTGAATATTAGTCTTTAAAATCTATTTGAAACAAACATTACTTAAGGCAATGCAAAATTGGAACTTTTCAGTTGATAAACAAGCAGCAGAAACTGCAAGAAATACCGCATGAGGCATTTTAAGGTAGGAAAATGCATTTTGTGTTTCCAGTGGGTTTTAAACTTCAGTCATTTATTGGCTACAAAGAGTATGCAGCTGAAATGTTAAAACAATTTCAACATTTAAAATGACCTTGTCTAATATAATGGGATGCATTATATATGTCCACTTATTTAATTACAAATTTTAAATTGCTGTAAAGCCTATAAAATAAAGGAAATTTTTTTCTCAAGTGCCTTGAATTAAAGCTGCAAGTCTTCTAAGTGGCACCTTGATTGCTTCATTTTACTTCTGGCAGTGCACAAAAGCAAAATAGCAAAAATTGCCCCAGTGGACCTGAATGCACCTGGGTGACCTGCGATTTTCTACTTCCACATTCAGATAGGACTGAGATTATTTCATTTGTCCCTAAAATTCTTAGAAACATGGTATCTAACCTGATCCTTACTCTGGATGGGATTACCTTGCCTTCCAGTTCTGCTGTGAGGAACCTTGGAGGCATTTTTGACAAGGATATGTCCTGCAATGTGCACACTAAATAAATATGGAAGACTGCATTATTTCATCTGCACAGTATTGCTGATATTAGAATCATCCCATCTCATAGTGATGCTGAATTTGTTACTTCTCAACTCGGTTTATGTAATTTCTTCTAATCAGGCTGTTCTAAGAGCTGGGAGAAATGCCTTCAGTTGATCCAAAAATGCTACAGCGAGAGTACTGACGGAGACTGGAAAAAAGATCACATTTCTCGCATATTAGCTTATCTACATTAGCTCCCTGTTGAATTCAGAATTGAATTTAAAATCCTCCTTCTCACATGTAAAGCCCTGAATTATCAGGCTGCATTATGTCCTAAAGACCCCAGCATCATGTTATCCCACTACGGCACTTTGCTCTCAGACTGCAGGCTTTCTTATGGTTGCTAGAGCTTTAAAAGTAGAATGGGAGGGATATCTTTCAGCTATTAGACTCCTCTCCTGTGGGCCAACTCCCACTTTGGCTTCACCCCTTCCTTTTTGATAAAGCTTATAGGAAGGGCTGGATCAGGTGACAGTGAACCATCTCTTAGTTATGCTGTTCTAGGCTCAGGCTGCATAGGGAACTTGTTGGGACTTGTGATACACAGTTCACTTCTGATGTGTTTATGTTCCACTAATGCATGTCCCTAACTTTTATCTGCTTTCATAGTTTGTGTTTCATCCTTGCCTAGCTAAGCTCGCCTTTTTTCTTTTCTCTTTCCTCTCACATCTAACCGATCAACGCACATGGCTGCCCCTCACTGAGTCTCGTTCTGCCAGGGAGCTTTTCTTTCTCAATGTCGAAAAGCAATGTCGAAAAGCAATGTCGAAAAGCATTTGCTCATAGGGGATTGTCAGATTTTTGGATTTTTCTCTTCTACAGTTTAAAACACCTTGAGGAAACAACTTAGAATTAATGGTTTATAAATAAAATTGAAGCGATATCAACTGAAAGGAAAAGTGCTGAGACAGACTTGTGACCTGTCCAGTGTGCACCTTGCCTCTTGCCCTATGATAGCTGGGATAGGCTCCAGCCCCCGACTGACCCTGAAATGAATAAGCAGAAGTAAAAAGATGGATGAAAGGAATACATTACGGTAAGGTGATCACACTTAAGTGATGTGTTTTATATCCTACTGGGGGAACCCAGCACACGCTGAAGAGATTACATCTCACAGCTAGCTTGGGAATGCCTTGGAAGAGCCGATGGAGATGGCTGGGGAGAAAGAGGTGTTAGTGTCTGCTTAAACTGCTGCCCCCATAACCTGGACCAAGATAAAAGGCATTAAATGGATGGATGGTAAAGGAGACAGTTCAAGAGATCAAAGTTCTTCAGATCTGCAAATTTATTGGGCACTTTCCTTTCTCTGGAGCCTCTGCGACTCTAACATCAGTGTCACAAAACTGCAGACACAAAGGCTGGGACGATGGTGGCATTTATTTCCCTCCACTTACTTTCCTCATAGAGTTTTATTCTTCTGTGGCATTAATGCTTTCCACATTAAATAAATGGCAGGTAGACTCTAACTAAATGGCAAAGATTACTGGTGAGATGGCTGTGTACTTTTATCTCTAATGCGACGCTTACAAGCTGAATCATGATCAGACTTTTAACCTTAAAATCAATCAGTGTTGCTTTTGAAGACTCTCATACCCTCAGACAAGATTTCTGGAATCTCCTGGTTCTCATCATGAAGCTTAACACTCATATTGACTTTTCACTGATACATTCAAATCCCACGTTTGATGCAATGAGCTGTCAATCGAAACCCCAAAAATCTGGCCTTAATTTGAATAATTCTGCCTATTCAGTAAGAAACAAGAATATTGTTGGCATTTTTAATGTTTATTCCTTCAAAGCAGTGCCTAATGCTTTTTTATTATGATTCAGAGAAGTTATACAACAGATGCCTTCTGTATGTATATACACTAGACTTCAAAAAAGCTTCCACTATGCTGTTTTCGGCCCTACCTCACCCCTACACTGTTTTCCTCTTCACTATAGCCACTATAGCAATGATAAAATACCTTTGAAGATTCACATTATGCGCCTCTTGTTGATGAAGAGCAAATAGCTTGGAAGATTACTGCAGTAACCATTATGCCTTGTTCTTGAAGCCTTTTTTGGCAACTCTTTGTGAAAATAATTT